TACAAGGTTCTGACCATTCAAAAATCGTCAAATTTGAAGTCAATCGGTTTCGAACTCTTGCGTTCGATCCATGGAACCAAGGCAGCGCGTTCCATTTTTCGCGGAAGTTCCCGAAAATTGTCGACGGGAAACGGTTACTTGGTGGATTTTTGGGCCGATTAAATGGAGGCCCCGATAAATCAAGCAACTTGTCTCTGGGCTAGTTTCTGTGCTGTTTCAAACGCCAAACGTATGAAATAATGATGCAAATGTGCTGATACTTGGTGGTATGTGTCAATACCATACAGATTGTCTTGTTCTAAATATTTCCTATTTTAATGCCCTGATATCGCTTAGGGCACCTTTAAGCAAAGTCTTTAGTTTAAAAATAGCCCTATTTTATTATTTTCCAGAGAAGCCGATCAGCAGCAAGACGAGAACACATCCAGAAGTAATCCCAATAACTTGGAAGAAGGCCTTGCCTGATAGATTCTTCTGGTTTTACCTTTCGTCCTTTGGTTCTTTTCGTCACGGTCTGAGACCTTTGACTGATAGCAGGATACAACCTAGTGTCATGCTTGGACGCAGCCAGACTGGGACTTTCCTTATCTAATTGCCCCCTTGTCTCCAAGTTCTTCCACCGACATTAGTGAAAACACATCTCGATTCGCCATCCAGGATTGAAAATGTCATCCTCGCTGACGAATATCAGCTATTCTGTAGTCAGTAGTTTCACTATTACGGTGATCGGAATAGCAGCCAACCTGTTTGTAGTATTGCTTGTGGCACGATGTCCTGCTTTGAGAACCGCTCCCAACGTTTATGTGGCCAGTCTTGCCGTAACAGACTTCATCTTCTGTCTCTGGTATTTTCTTGCGAGTATTGCCGTTGTGGACCTTCATGATGACCAACCCATGACCGCTCCAAAGTTGACCGACACAAAATATGTTACAAATCTGACCAATGTAGCAAATTTTACGAACATGGAAGTCCAAAGGTCTACAAATGGTGATCAGCAAGATAGCTTATCATGGTTTCTAAGCAATTTTGACTTTGACAAAGTCTTAGAAGTAAATCGTATGATAGCAGTCTTACTTGCCCATACAAGTATTTACTTGTTGGTGGCCATAGCTGTTGAGCGATATAAGGCCATCCTCCGGCCGCTAGAACACCTACGAACCAACACCTTAGGAAGGGCGGTAAGGGGCTGCTGTCTGGCAGCTTTAGCAGCCGTGATGTCAACAACTTTAGACACCGTTGGTAGAATCGCTGCCACAAACGACTGGAACTTTACAGGGAAGAGTTTAAGCAATCTGACTGGCTTTCTGGACGTCAATCCAGACACTAGTAACCCCCTGTTCTTCCTACAAATTGTGGAGTTTCTGATCGCGTACTTCATACCAGCCTGTATTTGTCTGTTCATTTACGTCAAAATATTCCTAAAATTGCGTCAGTCCCAGCGTTTTGTGGCGAGGAGGTCAGGCGACCATGCCTTTCGCATGGTGTTTGTCGTAACGATATTTTTCTTGATCTGCTGGCTTCCGATACAAATCATTTGTTTCAACGTCCATTTCTTTATCACCGATAGGTCAACTTTCTTTCAAATCGGATCCTTCACGTTCGCCCTGAACTCGATGGGAAATCCATTTCTTTACGCGCTTCTCGGTAAAAACTTTCGGCTCCAGATCAAACGAATGTTCTGCTGCTCGTCGTGTAAAGGGAATTTCAGGATGAGACAGGCTTCGTTTTCTAATGCGGCGGGTACGGAACCCAGTTTACCAAACGTGCAGGTTTTACGGGTCCTTCAAGTCTCACGCGACGTGGAAGTCGCAGTCAAGGACAAGGATGTGGAAGGAAAAGTGGAAGAAACAGAAGAAGACATCGGCATGGCTCAAGACGTCGAAAAGAAAGTGGAAGAAACAGAAGAACCCACTGGTATAGACATATTCGAGGATGTGGAAGTGGCAGCCAAGATCGAAGAAGACAAGACGGAGATGGAAGACGTGAGAGAAGGCATCGGCATGGCTGAAGACGTAGAAAAGAAAGTGGAAGAAACGGGAGAAGACACCCAGATGGACAAAGATGTCGAAAAGACAATAGGAGAACTGGAAGAAAGGAGGGAGCTTGAAGAAACTGAAGAAGACACCAGCATTGCTGAAGTCGTCCTAAAGGAAATAAGAGAGATGGAAGAAAGGAAAGAAGACAATGGCATAGCTAAAGACGTCCTAAAGGACATGAAAGAGATGGAATTCGAAGAAAGGCAAGTAGACACCGACATGGATGAAAACGTCGAAAAGGAAAAGAGGGGGCTGGAAGACACGAAAGAAGACATTGCTGGAGATCTTAAGTGTGAAAACCAGTAAATCGCGCCTCAGCACTAAAAAGACACCAGTCCTTCTGCAGAGAAAAGTTTACCGGAGGTCTGCAACAGTGTACATGTACTTATCAATACTTGAATTCAGACATATCATAAAACTGTTTTTCTGTAACGCTCTGGCATGCAGATAGAAACACCATTATATCTTAAACACTATAGTTCATTGTCTGGTAAACTCAATGAATTGTTAGTTTTCCATGGTATTAGGATAAGTGCCTAAATGGATACAGTTCTTTTTGTTGGCTTTACAATGTACGAGTCAGAGTCAACGAAAGAAGCTAGTGAAGCGTGATTTAACAAATACAGGACACCTTTTCAAAGACAAGCTTGAGTAACACTAAAGGTGTTGACCAAGGAGCCAACAAAAGCACCTGCTGCCATTCATGTGTGTGAAAGCAGAACTCGTATCTTAAAGAGAACTGACGCCATGGCACCACAAGACGGAAAGACAACAATCATGGCGGCTGCACCGTCTAGTCTGGGGACACAAATCCGCGAAGAACTGTCCTGCAGCATCTGCCTGGAGCTGTTCACCAGGCCCAAGGTGCTGCCCTGTCAGCACACCTTCTGTCAGGACTGTCTACAGAACCTTGCAGGGAGAGAAGGGGCCTTCCAGTGCCCGAACTGTCGCCAGCAAGTTGAGGTGCCACCCGAGGGGGTTTCGGAGTTTCCTGACAACTACATGGTCACTAGTTTGTGTGACAGTCTCCAAAAACATGAAACTCTGTCAGAAGAAACGATGGAAACACAGGGACAAGCTCAGCCTGGAAACGAGTGCAGCGTCCACCCCACTGAAGACGTCAAACTCTACTGTAAACAGTGTCAGGTGCCCTTATGTGTGGATTGTTATGTACAATGCCATAATGGGCATCCTACTATGAGCATTAAAAAGGCTTTACAGGAAAGAGAAGCATTGATTGCTGAGGGGAAACGTATCTTCGAGAACTACTTGAGCTTCCTCCGAGCTCTGACAGACGACGAGAAAACCCTGGACGATCAGAAACAACGGACTGACAGCAAAATCGAGGCGGCCTACCAACAAGCCTGTGATCAAACCCTTCAGAAACTAACACATGAAAGAGACCGTCTGTTGTCTGAAGTTGAGACGAACCACAGGCAAAACAAGGGAGCCGTACAGAGCCAAAGAGATTCCCTCATGACTGATGTGACTCAACTGTCTTCTGTCTGTGATGAGACAGAGAGGAACATGGCTAGAGAAGGTGGGCAGTTTCTTAGCCGGGAGTCCAAACTAGCGGAGGTCGTAGGTAAGTTTAGAGAAAAAACGGTGCCAAGCCCAGTACAAACCAATCCTGCTGTCTTCCTGCCAACCGAGAACTTTACCTGTACACTGGGTAAGGTAACTGTTCCAGGTATAATAACATCTATTGGTGCTGCCACAGCGGCCATGGGTCATCACCATGGTAACCCTAGACACACTGTGTCATCAATTCAGAGGTTGGCGTTTGGTATGGAAGGTTTCGCACCAGGTTACTTCATCAGGCCTTACGGAGTGACAGTGTCAGACGAGGGGGAGATCTTCGTGGCAGATCATGGAAATGGGAGAATCCAAGTCTTCACCCTGCAGGCAATGTTTGTGAGACAGTTCCCAACAGTTGTGTCTAGTGGAGAGAAGATGAATCCAGATAATGTGGCCCTGGACGGGGAGGGGAACCTGTGGGTGGTGGGCATGGGGTGTGCGGTGGGGAGTGTGGTGGGGAGGGCTTTGAGGAAGGCGGTAGGGTTAGGCCGGGGCGATCGCCAGTTTGTTGTGCAGTACGACCAACAGGGCAGCGTGCTGAGGCAGATTAAGCTAAAGAAGACAAAGTGGAACAGAGGAGTTGCCGTGGACACCAGGAGGAACCACATCCTTGTTACAGAAATCACTGGAAACAGGGACAACACTCATGGTAAAGTATTGGTGTTCAGGCCGGATGGAACACTTGTGAGAACTGTGGGTCAGCAGCAGGGGATGAAGTACCCATGGTACATCACTGTGGACGGGGAAGGGAACATTCTTGTGTCAGACTGTTGGAATGACTGTGTCTATGTGTACAACGAGGACCCAGTTTGGAGGTAAGGGAAATGGTGAAGGTCAGCTGAACATTCCTCGTGGCATCTGTACAGACAGGGCAGGGAACATCATCGTGGCAGACAGTTGGAACTGTCGTGTGGAGATGTTTGACACAACAGGCAGATTCATCAAACACATTGCTACAGATGAATACATTGACTATCCACGTGCAGTTGCCATGGCACCACAGGGACAGATGGTGGTCACTTTTGAAAACAAAGTCACTATTTTCAAACAAAGCGACTGTGGATAGAACATTTAACAATACAAATGTATAGCCTCATGTTAGAAATGATAATTTTGTATTGCGAAAATGGCAAAACATTTTTGTAGCATATTAGATATGTATATTTACATTATTGACTGATATTTGAAAGGAGGAAAATCATTGTGCGGATTGACTATATTTTCGCCTTGGAGAAATAAAGAACTGTTTGATGACCTATCAAGTGTGTGAAAGTCATTATGTACATAGTTTTGCATATTAGAACATTTGTACGTAAGACGAACCGAGAAATATGATAGGCGAGCTGTTTGAAAATAAAGAAAAACATAAGAGATATAAAGCAGCAAAGGATAGTAATGAACCGTCCCTACCTGTACTTACCCGACCAGTGTTTGACCCCCCCCCCTCCCCGTAGTCTCAGCATCAGTTATTAGGTGGAGTTTTTAATGTATTTGCAAAGGATGCTAATGTCCACATCTCGATCCCTAGTAATGAAACGTCCCTACCTGTACTTACCTCGGTCTCAGTTATTAGGTGGAGTTTTTCATGTATTTGTAATCCTGGATGCTAATGTTCACATGACCATTGCCTCTATTGTTAACATCTGCATGATTAAAACAGTCAGCTTGTGTTGACTGTTATGTGGCCTATGGTGGCATACCCCTCTTCTATACTTATGCAGAACTTCTAGCGGTCGCGCTTTTGAGGCTATGTTGACATGACTCTTCTGCTCCTCGTGTTTACCTTCCCCATGTGATCCCACCTGTACCTTTAATGAACCGTTCCTACCTGTAGTTACCTGGACCTACTCATGGCCCCTAATGAACCCAATACTAACGAACCTCCCCAGTTAGTTTTAGTCAGTTGGTGCCAGTTATTAGGTGGAGCTTTTTTTATGTATTTGCAATATTGGAGGCTAATGTCCACCTATATAAGACCTTGTAACATCGTGTCGCCCAGTTACACCTCAGGGATATTGCACAATCAGGAGTGTTGTCACTTTGAGGCTTTGAGGCGGAACTGCCACATCATTGAAGCAGGAAACAAAAACAATCATGGCGGCTGCACCGTCTAGTTTGGGGACACAAATCCGTGAAGAACTGTCCTGCAGCATCTGCCTGGAGCTGTTCACCAGGCCCAAGGTGCTGCCCTGTCAGCACACCTTCTGTCAGGACTGTCTACAGGACCATGCAGGGAGGGGAGGGACCTTCCAGTGCCCAAACTGTCGCCAACAAGTCAGGCTGCCGAGCCAAGGGGTCGCTGGTTTGCCCGACAGCCAAATTGTGGCAAATTTATGTGAGAGGCTGCAAAATCAGGCAACAATGTCAGAGGAAACAAGGGAGCAACCCCAGTCTGGAAACAGGTGCAGTTTTCACCCATCTGAAGAAGTCAGGCTCTACTGTAAACAGTGTAAAGTGCCAGTTTGCAATGAGTGTTTCGAAGAAAGCCATGATGAACATCCTACAATGAGCCTCAAAAAAGCCATCCAACAGCACAGAGGTCCGGTCCAGGCCTTGATCACTGAGGGGAGGGGCATCTTGGAGACCTACTGTAGCTTCGTCAGAGGTCTGAGGGTGGAAGAGAAAATTCTAGACGACCAGAAACAACAGACGGACAATGAAATCGAGGCGGCCTACAGAGAAGCCTGTGATAAAATGACCGAGGAAAGAGACCGTTTGTTGTCTGAAGTTGAGACGAACCACAGGCAAGACAAGGGAACCGTGCAGAGCCAAAGAGACGCAGTCGCCGAACTGTCTTCTGCCTGTGATGGGGCGGAGCGCGATATGGCTAGACAAGGTGGGCAGTTTCTCAGGCATGAATCCAAACTAGCGGAGGTCGTAGTGAAGTTTAGAGAAAAAACAGTGCCAAGTCCAGTAAAGACCCACCCTGCTGTCTTCCAGCCAACCGAGAACTTCACCTGTACACTGGGTGAGGTAACTATTCCAGGTATAACAGCATCTACTGGTAACCATGTAGCACCCATACTGAGGTTGACATTTGGTGGAGAAGGTTCACAACCAGGTCAGTTCAACAATCCTTTTGGAGTTACAGTGTCAGAAGAGGGGGAGATATTCGTGTCGGATTATCAAAATTCAAGAATCCAAGTCTTCACCCTGCAGGGAACAGTTGTTCGCCATTTCCCAGTCGTGTCAGATGACCCAACAGGTGTGGCCCTAGACGGGGAGGGGAACCTGTGGGTGGTGAGCTTGGATGTTGCTGTGCAATACAACAAACAGGGCAGGGTGCTGAGGAAGTTTGACCTACACGAGAGAATTATGTGGCACAGAGGAGTTGCCGTGGACACCAGGAGGAACCACATCCTCATCACACCATACACAAGAGATGGGGACAACCACGTTTTGGTGTTCAGTCCAGATGGAACACTTGTGGGAACTGTGGGTCAGCAGCAGGGGATGGGGCGCCCACAAAACATCACTGTGGACGGGGAAGGGAACATTCTTATGTCAGACTGTGAGAATCACTGTGTCTATGTGTACAACGAGGACGAGCAGTTTCTGTTCCAGTTTGGAGGCAGGGGAAGAGGTGAAGGTCAGCTAAAGCAACCCTTTGGTATCTGTACAGACAGGGCAGGGAACATCATCGTGGCAGACTGGGGAAACCGTCGTGTGGAGATGTTTGACAAGACAGGAAAATTCCTAAGACACATCACTACGCATATCAACGAGCCATGTGGTGTTACAATTGCACCACAGGGACAGCTGGTGGTGACTGATTTTCAAGATAACACAGTCACTATTTTAAAAAATATTGACTGTGGATAGAACAGTCACCAATACTGTTCAGTACAAAATAGAAATTCATTGACTATCACTTTTGTGCCATACAATAAGTGACATTAACTTTCTATTCAAGACATCTTTCTGTTGTCAGAAGTATTAAGTTCATATTGTAACTTTTGACAACCTTGTACATGTACATCATACACCTGTATTATGTGTAGCCTATTGCTCCAATCACCTACAGTGTATTTGCATAGCATACTAGTATATATGTTGTCTCTGGAACCTTAGCCGTACTGGAAACTATCAATAGGTTTCCACCACGGCACGGGTTGACAGTTGTCGTGCACAGGTTAGTCCTAATTTTAATTTATAGTTATACTATTCCTTGTGTGATTCTAAGGCCATTTTTATCTACCCCCTGTATTTTCTTTCTTTCTGTGGGGGTCACAGCTACATTGAATTCTTAGCATTTGAGTTTTTGAGATTGATGTGTTTGATTTTTTCAATAAAACAACAGTACCTTGTACAGTGCCCAAGACATCTTTCTTTCATTGATGCAAACTACATGTAGAAACACAGAAGACATTGTTGCCAAACTCAAACCACTTTTTTGTCCAAGCAAACAATTAAAGAAAGACTACAAAGTGTACCACCAAACATGGCAAAAACAACTGTAAAACATTGTGAGCTGAAACCTTACATCTACTTGGAGAATACACAGAAGACATTAATTAATCCCAAACTTACGCCACGTTATTCTGTCCAGAAGTTCCTCTTTGGCTGCCCAACAAAAGTATAAAGTGTACTAAGCATTGTCTAAAACACTGAATAAATCTCTGTATAATATACACTTTGACTGCGCATTCAGGCAATTCTGTAATATATTCCTGTCCCTTTCAACAGTCATTAGCTACTATATATGGCGTCCATCAGTAGTACACAATCAAGTTCAGCGAATTAATGACGAAATAAACTGGTCAGTAACTAAAATCCTCTACAGCTGACTGGCGTTATATCATGTTGTGTCGAAGTTAGGAACTCGATCTGTGTAGCCAAGAAGCCAACACAAACACCTGCTATTCATAGGTGTGAAAGGAGAACTCGTATCTTTGAACTGACGTCATGACCCCAGAAGGGGAAAAGTCAACAAAAGGACAACAAAATGGCGGCTGCACCTGCTAGTTTGGGGGAGCAAATCCGTGAAGAACTGTCCTGCAGCATCTGCCTGGAGCTGTTCACCAGGCCCAAGGTGCTGCCCTGTCAGCACACCTTCTGCCAGGACTGTCTACAGGACCATGCAAGCAGGCGCACGCCCTTCCAGTGCCCAAACTGTCGCAAGCAAGTCAAGCTGCCGAGGCAGGGGGTCACTGGTTTGCCTGACAATCGCATTGTGGCCAACATGTGTGAGAGGTTTCAACAACAAGCTACACTGTCAATAGAAACAAGCGACCAACCCCAGTCTGGAAACAGGTGCAGTTTTCACCCATCTGAAGAAGTCAGGCAGTACTGTAAACAGTGTGAAATGCCGGTTTGCAGTAAGTGTTTCGAAGAAAACCATGACGAACATCCTACAATGAGTCTCAGAAAAGCCATCCAACAGCACAGAGGTCCGGTCCAGGCCTTGATCACTGAGGGGAGGGGCATCTTGGAGACCTACTGTAGCTTCATCAGAAGTCTGAGGGAGAAAGAGAAAACCCTGGACGATCAGAAACAACAGATGGTCAGCGAAATCGAGGAGACCTACAGGCATGCCTGCGAGCAAGTCCTTCAGAAGCTGATCGAGGAAAAAGACCGTCTGTTGTCTGAAGTTGAGACGACGCACAGACAAAACAAGGGAGCCGTACAGAGCCAAAGAGACGCAGTTTTGGCTGATGTCGCTGAACTGTCTTCTGTCTGTGATGGGGCGGAGCAGGACATGGCTAGAGAAGGTGGGCAGTTTCTGAGTCATGAATCCAAACTTGAGGAAGTCGTAGGAGCGTTCAGAGACAAGTCAGTGCCAATTCCACTTCAAACCCACCCAGCTGTCTTCGAGCCTACTGAGAGCTTTACCTGCACACTGGGAAAGGTAACTGTTCCAGGTGCAACTGCAGAAAGCGGTGCCACAGCGGTCATGGGTCATCACCATGGTAACCAAACCCACAATGTGGCGCCCTTGACATTTGGTGGTCAAGGTTCAGAACCAGATCAGTTCGACGGGCCTTTAGGAGTGACAGTGTCAGAAGAGGGGGAGATCTTCGTGGCAGATAATGATAATTCAAGAATCCAAGTCTTCTCCCTGCAGGGAACATTTGTCAGACAGTTCCCAACAGGCGTGTCATATGAGGAGATAGACGAGATGTTTGACATCTACCCCGAAGACGTGGCCCTGGATGGGGAGGGAAACCTTTGGATGGTGGGGAAAACGGTGGATGGTGATGGGTTAGCTATGCAGTACAACAAACAGGGCAGAATGCTGAGGAACTTTGACCTACAGGACACAGTGTGGTACAGAGGAGTTGCCGTGGACACCAGGAGGAACCACATCCTCATCACACAGACCACAGGAGACAGGGACAACACTCATGGTGAAGTTTTGGTGTTCAGGCCAGATGGAACACTTGTGAGAACTGTGGGTCAGCAGCAGGGGATGAAGTGCCCACATTGCATCACTGTGGACGGGGAGGAGAACATTCTTGTGTCAGACTTTGAGAATCACTGTGTCTATGTGTACAAGGAGGACGGACAGTTTCTGTTCAAGTTTGGAGGTGGGGGAAGAGGTGAAGGTCGGCTGATCAATCCCAATGGCATCTGTACAGACAGGGCAGGGAACATCATCGTGGCAGACTATGGAAACGGTCGTGTTGAGATGTTTGACAAGACAGGAAAATTCATCAAACACATCACTACTGGCGTGTCACGCCCATGGGCTGTTGCCATGGCAACACAGGGACAGCTGGTGGTCACTAATACTGTGGATAACAGTGTCACTATTTTCAAACATGGCGACTGTTTATAGAAGTTACCAATTATGTTCAGTACATGACGGGGATTTCATTGACAATCACTTTTATGCCATACAACTTTACAACATGGAAGTGAAATTAATTTTCTACTCTGACACCTTTCCTGTGTTGTCAGATGTATAAAGTTCATCTTATAACTTTATAACTTGTACGTGTGCATCATACACCTGTATTATTATGTGGCAGAATGTTTCCCCAATCAAATACTTGCATAGAATATGTATCTTGCCTCTGGGCCCTTAGCAATAGTAGAAACTTGCACTAGGTTTCCACCACGGCATGGGTCGAGACACAACTACAATTGTCCTGCAAATGTTACTATTCAATATGTACTTCCAGGGCAATCTTTTTTCTATCCAATGTATTTTGCTTCCATCCATCTATCCAATCCTCAACCATCTACCCTGCATGCACTCACTCACTCACTCATTTCATTTCTTCACTTGTTCGGAGAACAAGAAACAGCAAAAACAACACATTTTCCTTCTTGGAAGGTAAACATTAAGAAGAAACAATAACCAAGACCAGGTGAAATTCATGTATATTTTTGTGATTTATTTTGAAGATGACGACATGTCCTATTCAGACAGCTGTCCTCTTGGATGCACTTCAGTGCTGAGGTGCTAGGGGGAGCTGCTACTTCTTGCCCTTGCCTTTAGCGGCAGGCTTCCCCGCAGCTTTGCCCTTGGCCTTGCCCTTCGCCTTGGCTGCTGGCTTCTCAGTCACGATCTGGAAAAGAAAATGTGAAATTTTAGTTCAGGATACAAAATATTTGTCAAGCCTGCATCTAAACATAAAATGGCACTCACAATGTATTATAATGTAAAAACTTTGGGATGTAAAAAAGTTTGTTCTTTTTTTAGTCTGGATTCAAAATATTTGAGAAGTCTGTATTCAAACACTTGATGTACAAGTATCTTTATATGTATCATAATGTAAAAACATTGTATTTTGGGGTGTAGAATGTTTTCTTTCTTAGTTCTGTATTCAAAATATTTCTGAAGTGACTGAAGTCTGTACCTATACCAGCCATACTGATACAGACAAAGACTTATTGGGTTTCACTACATGTATTATTACATAAAAATTGTCATTATTTGTGATTTTGGATGCAATTTTAAATGTTTGACAACAGTGTAAATGTTTGATATCACAGTGAGCTTACTTTTTGCAGTTGAACAAGCATTTTGGATTGTCATTCAGTTTGCAGGTTTAAGTATCACAATTGTGAATGTCATTCACAGTTATTGTTATGTAATTTTTGGTGTGTGTTTTATTTCATTTAGTGTTTTCATGATCAGGATGAACATTTCATTGATGTTCAAAGTTTGACTTTTCAATAAAACAACAGCAACTTGTACTGCTCAACTTCAAACCTCACATTTTCTTTCACTACATACAATTAACACCAGCTCCAAGCACAGCATGAACTATCACCACACAGCAGACATCTATCGACCCCAAACTTATGCCGCGTTTCTTGTTTCCTCCTTGGCGGCCCAACTAAAGTGTACCAAACACAGCTTGAAGATTAGGATTGCAATTACACCACACAACAACCTAAACTTACGCCGCGCTTCTTGTTCAGAAGCTCCTTCTTGGCTGCCCAACTCAAGTGTACTAAACATTTGTGTTCTAAACACTGAGCATGACCTTAGACCTTTAGTTACATCAGCTTGCAGGTTACAGCTACACCACACAACAACCCAAACTTAACTTGTTCAGAAGTTCCTCCTTGGCTTATCAACTTCGAACCTTACACTTACTTTAGTAAGGAAGTGTACTAAGCATACTAATACCACACCAAGTATGACCTAGATCCTTGCATCCATTTGGAGATTACACCAAACTTACGCTGCGTTTCTTGTTCAGAAGTTTGTGTAACAATGTTTAGTGCAACATTTGGGTACTAAACACCGAGTATAAACTAGATCTTTACTTCAGCTTGATTACAGTTACACCACACAAGAAACCCAAACTTACGCCACGTTTCTTGTTCAGAAGTTCCTCCTTGGCGGCCCTGCGTTTCTCCTCGGTGAGGAGTGCCTGTCGCTTCATGGTCTTGGCGTACGGGTTCAGCTTTAGCATCGCTCGCAGGTTCCGCAGGGGGTTCTTCTTCTGTACAGCACGGACCTTGTGGTCACGCCTGGAAGAATATTATTTATTTGCTTATTTTTATTTGGTTTTCAGTATGTATTCTACAAAAGGGAAATGCATAGCACATCTACAGAATAAGGAAAACAATGGTCTAGGATCACAAAAATAACTTTTTACTGTTATCTGGTTTTTACAGTTTATTCTACAAAAAAAAAAAGCCATGGTACACATACAAATAAGTGGCACACATGTGTATCAACAATCAGGATATAATGAATGGTCTATAATCGACGGAGGCCTCATATAATCACAAACAATAAGAAGAAGCACTATCATTGTATCAATGTTAATCACAAAACAACAAAACTAGGATAGAGGCAAGGAATGAATGGTAAAGAAAGGAGTGAATGAGAAAAGATAGAGAAAATGAATGACTGAGAATGATACTGGATGGAGAGAAGGAATGAGAAAAGATGGAAGGAAGGAATGACTGATAGAATGACACTGGATGGAAGAAAGGAATGAGAAAAGATGAAGGGAGTGAATGAGAAAAGATAGAGGGAGTGAATGACTTACTTGGGAGCCCTGATGGCGCGCTGGATCTCTTCACTCTTCAGGAGACGCATCAAGTCCGTGTTCAGCATCTTCGGCATGGGGAGGCTGGGGGGACAACAAGGTACAACAATGTCTTTAGAACTCTGTATCTGTATAGCCCGTATAACCGCCTTTCAACAATGACAATGCCCCTACTGTACTTGGTGACGGCAACTGTATCTGTATCTGTTATCATTCTACACGCCTTCGGCATGGGGAGGCTGGGGAAACAACAAGGTATAACAATGTCTTAAGGAATCTGTATCTGTATAGCCGGTATAACCGCCTTTCGACAATGACAATGCCCCTAATGTACTCGGTGTTCAGCATCTTCGGCATGGGGAGGCTGGGGGGACAACAAGGTACAACAATGTCTTAAGGAATCTGTATCTGTATCCGTATAGCTGGTATAACCGCCTTTCGGCAATGACAATGCCCCTACTGAACTCGGTGTTCAGCATCTTTGGCATGGGGAGGCTGGGGAAACAACAAAGTACAACGTCTTAGGAATGTCTTACACTTTTGTTGCCTTAATAAGGTTGGACTGCGTGGAGACATGAGTCCAGGCTAACTGACTGCTAAAGGTACAACATGTTTGTCGAGTCAAATAGTTTAGCAAAAAGGTTGTTGAAGCAATTTTTTGGAACAATTTCTTGAGTTATCTGAGGACTGGGTTCAGAGGTTTGTTAACCGTCAGGAGTCAGGCTCTGTAGACGACAACTTTGTATCATCATCCCCAGTCTGGCACATTGCTACATGAATTACATAGAACCAGTCACATGTGGCAAACATACATTGCTACATTTGTTACATCACTTCACTTGTAACATAGAAACTTACAATTCTGGAGAATGTGACGCCACACACACACATACACATCATTTCTTGGTGCTGGGATTTCAGAAATATCAACAAACAACACAAAAAACTGAGACAGGTAGAAAAGTCCAGATTCGAGTTTTCCTCCCAGCCTACTTTCATAACATCCTCTTGCTAGACTTTTTCTTTGACGTAACAATATGTAACAATATGTCAGAAAAACAGTATTGTTGCATGTCCTTCAATAAGTCTCTACTCACTTGAAGTCCTTCTTGAGTGTGGAAGGTTTTCTCCAGGTCCCGTACAGGGCGTCCAGTTTCTGGATGGCGCTCTCTGTCCAGATGATGAAGCGGCCGACGTGACCGCCGGGAGCGATCTTCAGCAGGTTCAGTTTGTCAACAGGCAGAAGAGTAACTCCTGGGGAAGGGATGACAGAAAATCACTTAGTTACAAGATGCTGTTTAGTACTCTGTAAATTCATATACATGTACAAAAGAAAGAAAGTTGTACAGTTAAGATATAGATAGAAATAGCATAGTTTGCCTAATACTTATCTGTAACTAAAGTAATGCAAACTTCATTGTCATTGTCAGTATTAGGTGTGCACAGGGACACACAAACACATAAAAACAAACACACATGCACACACACACACAGGTTTAACACAAAGCACAATGCAAACCACAAGAAAGGGACAGACACTGTGAATCCTTACATTCATCTGTGTTGGTAGCTGTAATTTCCAACACAAGAATTTAGACTCCAAAATTTTCAACTGTACAATCTTGTACATGCACCAGACTCTTTTGCACAAGATATCAAAAAAGCCATCTACATCAGGGGTTTGCGAGCATTTGTCAATAAGATGGGGGGTGCCTCAGACTTCCTATTACCTCACCTGGAATATTCCTGAAGGCCCTGACAATGCCGTTGTCCTTGTCGTAAATAATACAAGGACCCCGCTTTTTCACAAACCGCCGATTCCTCATTTTTCCCTTGCCTGCGCGGATGCGCTTGCTGTTATAAACCTGCAAACAAACACAAAAACAATGAGTATACTCAACCTTCAGCCTTCTAACTTAATCTAAGGCAGCTATTTAGCACAAAATTTGCAAACTGGGTAAAGGGTAAGGCAACAGGATGGTTAAACTAATCATTAAGACTATCATGATCTTTCTTTTCTTTTTACATTTTTTTTTGTGGATCAGTCTACGCTTTAAAAAGTCACAGAAGTCAGAAACACGGACCATAGCGTAATCATCATGTCCACCATAGGTTGGATTTGTCGGTCGCTGACAAAAAGTAGTCGATGCTAGTTGAAATGTCTGACAGTTTTCAAAATCTATCCAGTTGCTTGTGTATCTCATTACCTAGATGTCTACCCATCATCGATGTAAATAAGGATGAAATTCGAATGGAAGCTCATCTGTGTTGGTAGAAGCCATACTTGCAAAGTTCAAGCTTTGTTCCAACACAAGAAAGGAACTGATCATAAATATTTGGTTGATTTTGGAGAGTGAGTGCATCACACATCTGACAAAGTTTGATAAGATTGAAAATTTATGATGAGTTCTCTTCTTGTGTTGGAACAAAGCTTGAACTTCACAACTAAAGATGAAATCCAACTTGTGGGTTTCCCTCTTAATTTCTATATTGTGTGATCTGTAGTTTTTTCCAGACCTTCTGAATGTCGTTCCAGGCCTTGAGTTTGCAGATCGAAAAGAATACAGATGAAGCTCAACTATTGAACTTTTCCTCCCAATGTCTACATTTTGGTATCTTATAAAATAAGCTTCTGTTTTTTCCAGACCTTCTGAATGTCGTTCTAGGCCTTGAGTTTCCGGATCAAAAAGAATACAAGTATTGAACTTTTCCTTCCAATGTCTATATTTTGTTATCTTGTAATATAATATAATAAGAAGCTTCTGTTTCCTTCCAGACCTTTTGAATGTCGTTCCAGGCCTTGAGTTTACGGAGCAGTTGAACAGCCTCCTTGGTTTTCTTCATCTCCTGAACCTTGTCTCCCACCACAAGGGGGACCTCAGGGATCTCCTCAATACGGTGACCTGGACAGGGAAAAATAAAACAGGATTACTTTTTAATTCTTCAACTAGGAGTTCTGATTAGCCATTTGCAACCTAGTATTTGCAGATGTTTTTTTCCAGGTTGTCGGTGAAATACAACTTTCTGGTGTGGTATCAAGACATCCTGTCATCATCTGAAAAACTTAACAAGTTTTCTATTTCTTCCCTTTCCTACTACTACTCTCTTTGTGAGGAACTAACAATTGGCTCCTCAATACGGTGACCTGGGCAGGGAAAACATGAACAGGGTTAATTCTTTATTCTTCCACTAGGATTTCTCAAATAGCCACCAGAATTTGCAGAAAGTATATTTCCACATTGCAGTTGAACATGTAACTTTCTGGGTGGTATTAAGAAAATCTGTAATCATCCAAGTTTTCTATTTCCTCCTTTTCCTACCCAAGTTTTATATTTCTTCCTTTTCCTAATACTTCTTTCTTTGTGAGGAGCTTACAAATGGTCTGTAATGGCAGCCATTTAAAAGGGGTCGTGTGGCGCAGTCGGTAGCGCGTTCGGCTCACACCCCAGAGGTTGTGGGTTCGAACCCTGCCCATGTCACCGATCTTGTGCCCTTGGGAAAGGCACTTTACACGACTTTCCTCACTTCACTCAGGTGAAAATGAGTACCTAGCTTCGGTTAGGGACGTCCCTCGGATAGGACGTTAAATGGAGGTCCCGTGTTTGGGGAGAGCCACACCCCATGCACGTTAAAGAACCCACCGCACTTATCGAAAAGAGTAGGGGATCTTCCCGGTGTGAGTGGTTCAAAACTTACAGTCCGGTCTTACGCAGCTTGTACATGTGCGCACATGTACAAAACTGGTGTGTTACGCCTGAAGGCGGTTTACCGGTTATGCGAAACAAACAAAATTCTGGTGACATAAGTACAACATTAACTGCTCCGTGTGTGTCGGTAAGACAAAATTTGGCACCACACACTCTAGAAAGGACTTCTCTTTTCAGGCCACACTTAGTTAGATTTAAATCTTCCTATGCCCAGTGGCACACCAGGCAAAGAGTAATGAAAATAAAACATCAGTACGTACCCTTTGCCATGACCAGTGCTGGCAGAGCTGAGGCAGACAGGGCACAGCAGATGGCGTAGCGACGCTGGTGGATGTTCACACGGCGGTGCCAGCGGCGCCAGGTCTTCGTCGGAGCGAACATGCGCCCGCCACGGCACATGTTCCCGAAGGCTCCCTGCCCGGACCGGTGGGTTCCGCCACCGCGAACACGCGGGATACGAGCCACGGCACGACCCGTGCCCCAGGACTCAGCACTCGTCTGGTGACCTGGGGTGAAACAGAACAAGAAACCAGTTTAGTTACAGTGCTTTGTGCAAATACACAAGTTGCACATAGTAAGACTTAGACTAAGACACGTTTTCTTTGTTGTTCAATCTATAGTCACAACTAGAGCTGTAAACTTTAGGTACTGGCCAAGACTTTAAATGTTGTCAAATCTTTGTTGCAATCCTTTAGATGTGTGTACAAGCACTTGAGTAATCAGTGAACGCTGTTTATCGTCATGTGTGTCAGAAACACGGACCAAAGCGTACTCATCATGTAAGTACTGTAGTTCTCTTCACACTATAATTGTCTTCTTCTTTAGATCACTTAATCTTTGTGTGTGAGGGAGTGAGTGATGGAGTGTGAGTGAGTGAGTGAGTGAGTGAGTGAGTGAGTGAGTGAGTGAGTGAGTGAGTGAGTGAGTGAGTGAGAGAGAATGATTGATTGACTGAATGAGTGAGTGAGTGAGTGAGCACATGAATAATACAGACCTGCGAGTTTGCTGACACAGTACGGCTGGCGGCTGTTCTTACGGACATTAGCGTGAACCGACTGGACGATGTCCGGCCGGATCGGAGCCTTCATCACCGCGGGCATCGTCACGGTAACGGCCGTGGACTCGCCCTTCTCATTGTGCACCGTGATCAACGGGCGCGCACACGGGTAAGACTGGGGAAAAAAGTAAAAAGGTTTTAAGTAAACTATGCATCTATGTTGTTTTAGTAGTTACTGTATCTTCTGAAGACAGTTTCAGATCTTTGATTCATAAATTATTGCAAGTTTCCAATAATATACATCGATAATTATAAAGAAAGCATACATGTGAGACAAATTATGTCTACGGTAAGGTTTTATATATATATGCAACTGATGTTGGATTTGATTTCTTTTTGGAACTTGGAAGTCCCATCCCATGTGTTGGATGGTTTCAGTAGGAATGGTAAGATTTAAACTGCAATCTCCCTTTCTTATTTGAAAAGTTTTGGTGAAAAGCTATGTTACGTTTAAAACGATATCCTACCAAAGCCAAAGTGGCATAAAAGACATTTTGACATAACTTCTTTGTGTTAAAAAATATTTCGCAAGACTTCGGATACAGGACTTTGCAGGCATGTTCAAAATGGCGGCGCCCATACATCGGGAAGTTTATACTTCAATTTTCGCCTTATATTTCACTTGACAACAAAGATTTTCACACAAACAATAACCTAACAGTCTTAAATTTCTAGAGAGTGTACTAAAATGTGGTTTTATTTCAGGGTTTTCCTACCATTTTGACCAATTCTTCGACGGCCACGTTCCAAAATGTGCAGCAATGGCCGCCACACGAGAAAAAGGAAGAGGGAGGTCAAGGGTTACGACTCATCACTTTCGCGGATTGATTCAAAAGTATTTATATTAAATTCTACAAATAAAAGTGATCTTTCAACCTTTTATGTATCTACACATGTCATATATATTTTTATAGTTGATTGTATTGGTACATTGTTCATGTGCTATCTTACAAAAGTCCTAAAAGAACTATTTTTAAAAGCGGAGAGACATAAAGAAGTAGTGACAAGTCCCAATAGTGGAGGGGTTTCCCTACTTTCCGTCCACGGGCTAGAACTTTTCAAAGTTTTCTCCAATATGACAACCAAATATACTGTTGTCTTCATATTTTACCACCCTCAAGAAAATTTAAGTCAAAATATGCTTTAAAGAAACAACAAAGGCTAGAAAACGGCTGTGTTTTTAATCATCAAATACTGAAACTTAGGCGAAACCATATGAAATGGGTGGTTTCTCCTACACATTTTAAAGTAAAGTTGATAAAGTCAAATATAACGTCATAAAATACACAAAATATACAAATTATATCAGTTTTCTTACATTTGCCATTGTTTATGAGACAAACTTTGGAATAATATTGAAATGCTCTCCTTGATAATTTTACTAGTACCCCATTCTGTAATGGTTCGTTCCGAAATCTAAAAACTAGCGCGGCAAGTTCGAATCGTCGTTCCAACTTCCGGAAGTTTTTTTGACGTTTCGAATCCTGCAAAAAGCGAGTTTTCAGCCATGCCCGCCGCAGTCATGGTTCCAATGATACCCGAGGAAGAAAACCAGGTAGAGACGGACAAATGCGACCTGGAGACACTACTGCAAAGGTTCGTGAGTGAATGTTTACGACAAAAATTATGGTCGAGGTTTTTGGTATACCACCCCCCTCCCCACATGCATATCTAGCTCTACAATCTACTACATGTGTCGTCAAATTTTGGATACTGTATCCTGCCGTAATAATTCACTATATACAAGTCTATCATCTTCTATACCAGCATTTCTGTCAAATTGTAGATACGTTGTAGTTCAAATTTCAATTGTAGTACAATTATTATTGTGCATGGAGGTAGAAAAAGAGACATAGCTACTAGATCAGAATGTTTTTCTTGTAAATTATATGACAAGAAGGTCCGGTTAGTTTGTGACATGACAGCATTGAAGCAAAACTTTCTTGTCAAACTCAAAACATTATTTAAAGAAAGTATACAAGTTCAGTGTACGAACTGGTACAAAATCTCAATATTTTGCTTCTCTTCAGGTTGAAATGTGGTAAAAGTGGAGACTCAGAACTTTTCAAGGAGGAGTTTCGGATCCAGCTGCTGCCGCAATCCCAGCATCCTCTCTGCAACATGGTGGACAGAAAGGCGCAGAATGACTCCATCTATCTGCTGCAGAGGGAACTGCAGGTATGTCTTTTTCAACTGCTGAAATCTGAATTGCAGAACAAGTACAAAATCATAATCTGTATAGCCGGTATAACTGCCCTTGGCAGGCACGCGGCGCGGCGGCAGCTAGCTATATCACACAGAGCAACCTGTGACACCAAATCTTTGCACATTTAAGTTGCAGGAGTTGTTTAAAGCTTTCTAATCATGATGCCCCAACTGATCTTGGTGGCAAATACTGAAATAGCTCCACTCTACAAATAGTTCTTGGAAAGTTTTTGAAGACCTCAATTCTTGGTTGATAACTCTGGTACTTGAAGGCATGACTGTTTCTTGTTCTTTTTTGGGCTGGTATCAGATACTGAGGGGTATCTAAGTGACTTATCTGATACCAGCTCAAAAAAGAACAAGAGTGGTATGAATATGATATTTCTCCAGGTTCCACTAGAACAGTTGACCAGTGAGAGTCTGGATGGAGTGCTGGATGTAGACAGCCTTGCAGGGAGGGTAGAGACAGACGGGGAAGACAGCACAAGAGATGACAGCATGGAGGACACACCAAAGATAGTGGCAGAGCTGCATCCTGTGTCTGTCAAAGAGGCCAGGTAAAGTCACTCGGGGCATTTTCGTTGTTCCACCAAAAAACAGTTACTCAAGCAACTGGATATGTTTCTGGAAATGGTCAGACGTTTCAGGTAGTATCCACTAGCTTTCGGCAGTGACACCAGGAAAAATTTGCTCCAGTTACTGTTTTTTGGCATATCTTATTACATGGATGTTGAAACCTTCTTAAAAACATATTTTTGTTGTTGTCTTTAAGTTAAGTATAATCCAAGCCCTCTGGGTTTATTGCATTGTTTGTAAACTTGGCTCAAAATATTTTTTTTGGTCTATAGAGTCCATTCCGCGTCACCGAGTGGGTTTTTTCTCCATGTTTCTAATACGTTTGAATTATTTAGAAGAAAAGAATACCCCAGTAACAAAAGTTCTAAATTTTTCAAAAATTTGAAAATGAAAATTTGAATATATTTGAATTCATTTATATATTTCTGAAACATTTTGAATGTGACTGTACAAAGATCTCTTTCTTTAGAATAAATTTGAACTACCCATGTGTTTCTTTCACAATTCGAAATATTTAGAACTATTTCAAACAAATAACCAAATGGTAGATGTGGGTAATTGCCCCCATAAAAGTAGGTGCTAATCCTACTCTTCTGTATTCTTCTGTATATTTTTAGATTTCACTGCTGGACACTGGTGGCTCTTTTGTGTAAGGCATCAATGCCTGACACTCAGGCAGTCTGCCCTGTACTTCACAGGGATGTGTGAATTACTTCCTTCCCATCCCACTGACCTATTTACAAAATGTTAGAAATAATTCGAAATAATGGTAAAAAATGGTAGAGTGCTGTTAGATCTAGAAATATTTAGAAACTATTGGAAATGTCATAATCCACATCAGGAATATTTCAAACGTTTTAGAAAACCAGGGAATTATTTAGAATATTGACAAGATGTTCAAAATATTTCCAAATTATGAAATTTCTTAGACAGAAAATTACAAAGAATTCAAAACATTTCTAAATAATGACAATAACAACCCACTCGGTGACGCGGAATTGACTCTAACTATAAGATCAAAAATGAGATTTCCTAGCATATAGAAATCTGCAAGCTTATTTTTTTTTACTGCATTTTTAAAGTTTCTAAGAACGGCAAACAGGAGAATGGCACTATCACATTCTCAGTATGAGGTATGAACTGAGTTCAAAATTTTACTGGATATTAAACAACCATTTCTCCACAGGTACTTCCTATCCCTGTACGCCATGGCCCACAACCCAGCAGTTGCCGACGCCCAGCCTGCAGTTTTCCCACTGTGGGTGAAGGTAGAAGTGCTATCCAGCAGGGAAAGGGTCTGCTACATGGGCAGTGAACTGCACACCAACAGGAGGGGACAAGTGACTGGGATGTCAACTTATACTGTCACTGCAAAAGGTGAACAACAGTTACTTAACAGTCTATTATGGAGGCTTTAAAAAAATACAATGTACTCTTTGTCCCTTTTTTCTTCCAACTGTATCAATCAAAAGTCTTTTTGTCTTTTATGCTAAGTTGCAAACAAATGTCAAAAGTTTTCTTCCTTGTAAAGTTGAGTGGTATTTCGAGCAATGTTGGGCAACTATACTAAATTAGTTTATCATCTGAAGAGTGATGAAAAACAATAACATATTGCTTCCCCCCAGGACCTTTCCCCACTCCAGCCAACCTTCCCACACTGGAAGCACTACAGAAGAAACACCGGGCTACGGTCTTTCCTCCCAACAACAATGTAAGTCACTTAGCAATACTGTAGCCATCACTTTATAAAGTGTCAGGGCTTACAATCAGTGTCACTTAAGTATCAGGGTCTTTCCTCCCAATAACAATGTAAGTCAGTCTACAGTACTTCAACTATCACTGAATTGTCAGAGCTTACAATGGAAGTCAGTCAGTGTTACTTAAGTTTCAGGATCTTTCCTCCTAAATATGTGAGTCTTTTTCACAGTTCTAGTTATGTATTCCAACTTGAATTTTGCTGGTGAGAATTCTTGTCACCAAACAACACACAAAAGAGTTAGCTTTTATTAACTGACATATTGTAACAAAGAAATCATTGTTGTGATATGACTGTGCTCTAACATGGCTCCTGGGTGTTGGGTTACTCGTCACCATGACAACGCTGTGATTGACAGGTCGTCAACCGAGGCTTCGTGCAGTACGACGTATTCGGCACGGGTTCCCAGGATGCCGCGGGAGAGCGCCAGACCAGCGTTCTGATCGAATGTGGCTGGAAAGACGTGACCTCTGTCCTTCAGCTGCCGCCCTACAACTCCGACACTGTCATGGTGGGTATCACACTGGAGTTTTGTTGGTATCACACTGGAGTTTTGTTGGTATCACATTGTAGCTCATAGTGTGTTCACTTATTCCTGTCTAAACCTTTTGCAACAAATTTTTTAAAATAAAATATTGAAGATTAGACAATCCAGACAAGAAAACAGTTAGTCAAGCAAGTCTGGATAGATTTTGAAAACTGTCAGATGTTTCAAGTAGCATCCACTACTTTTCTTCAGTGACTTTGTCTTTTTTTACTTTCTCATGAAACTGTCTTCCCCCAGCACATCCGGGCAGTACCAGGCGACATGAAGAGCGCCGCCTACAGTATCTACAGGGAACTGCAGACCCTGACTGTGAGTCCCTTTCTTGTTGACAAATCCATATACATTGATCCATGCTGACAAAATGCTTTTTTTTAATCCATGAGAAGTCCAATAATAAAGCTAGCACATTTTTTAAAAATCCCATGCTGCTGTCTTAATCTAATCCTATCTTTGCTAGAATTTATCATCTACTGTGAAATACTACGCCAAAAAACACTAAAGCAACTGGACATGATTTTGGAAACAGTCAGAGTCAGACGTTTCCACTAGCTTTCGTCAGTGACACTGGAGAGTTGTCAGAAAAGCAGGTTTATAAGTACAAACTATATTGATTGATATACATTTGTACCATGAGATTTTTGTCATTTTGCTGTTTCCTGAAGTATTTTGTCCGTTCCTTCTGCAGGGTTTTGTGGAAGGGTTACAGACAGGAGAAGTTTTGTGGTGTCAGGAAGAGAATGCCGTTCCTCTTACTACAACTGTCAGGAGCTTTATAGAAGGTAATGTACAGGAGTAATACTTCTGTGTGGATACCTGCACTAAACTTACCTGCACTATCAGTAGTAGAAGTACTTTTTTTAATGTTCTGCAATATTCCAGACAAGTCAAAATTTTGTTCTGCAAATTTGAAACACTTTCTGCAAATACACAAGCCTCCATACTACAACCTTCTCAATTTAATAATGCAAAATTGCAGATTGTAGAAATTTTCTTCTGCGTTATTGTAAATATCTCTGCAAAATGCAGAATGCAGATGGGATTTCTAACACTGAACCATCATCACCTGCAACACTCAGAATTTAGGAGGTACAACAATGAAAACTGATCAGAAACTATTGCCATCATTTCTTTCACGCTTCTAATCATTCTGACTGGTTTTGATATCTCTTTGTTTTGCACAAGAACTCTTGTGTGTTATGCAGCATCTGCTTGGAGCTGTTCACTTAGGTGCAGCTTAGTCAGGTTTGAAACCTGATCTGAGTAAGTGAGACAATACCATTCCTATAGCCACCCAGGTGGAACTGTAACCTTAGTAGGGTACATGTACAGGCGAGGACAACAACCATGGCGGCTGCACCGTCCACTTTGGGAGACCAAATCCGTGAAGAACTGTCCTGCAGCATCTGCCTGGAGCTGTTCACCAGGCCCAAGGTGCTGCCCTGTCAGCACACCTTCTGTCAGGACTGTCTAAAGGACCTAGCAAGGAAGAAAGCACGTTTCCAGTGCCCAAACTGCCGCCGTAGGGTCAAGATACCAGCCCAGGGGGTCACAGGTTTGCCAGACAACCATCTGGTGGGTAGTCTGTGTGACAGAATTTCCAACCAGCCAGCAGTTTCCACAGAAGAACAGGGGAACAGTGAAGTAGACGTTTCAGAGGAACAGGCTGGAAACAATTGTGACAAACACCCCTCTGAAAAACTGAGAGTCTACTGTAAACAATGCCTGGTGCCGGTTTGTGACGAATGTCTGGATCAAGACCATGCAGGCCATACCACCATGTCCCTCAAAAAGGCCATGGAAGAAAGAAGTGCCTCAATTAAGACCTCAGTAGATCAGGGCAAGAATGTGCTTGAGAGCTATCTCGCTTTCTTGAGAGATCTTAGAAATAAGGAGAAAGAAGCCACCGAGAGAAAAGAGGAGACGGTTAACAACATTACTCAAAAATTTGATCAAAAGGTTCAGAAGCTCACAAGGAGTAAGGACATGCTACTGAAAGAGGTTGAAGAGGACCACAGCCGAGTCTTGGAGACGATTCAGAAAAGTAGAGACGAAGTTCTTGAGGAGGTAGCTGAGCTGTCAACAGCTTGTGAAAGTGCTGAAGAAGCCATCGACAGCAGAAATAGCAAATGTCTCATCCAAGAGACCAGCCTGAAACAGATTGTTAAAAACCATATTGGGAAAGACGCGCCAACTCCTGTACAAATCGACCGCATTGTTTTTGTTCCCAATATTGTATATCCTAAGGTTGGAAACTTAACAACTTGGGCAGTAATGAGAGATCACCTTTTCTTGTCTGTTGCATGCCTTCATGTCGGGTATAACCTCTATGGGTATGATGGTTTTCTGCGAGGGTGTGTGTTTACAATTTTCCATTTTTTGTATGATCTGGCCATAGTATAGAGCGGCTGTAGGGGAGAAGATAGGCCATAAGCTGAACAGTTTTATAAATACTCACCTACAGTCTGCATTTTGCAGACATTTTCAATATTGCAGGAGAAAAAGAAACCTGCAATTTTACAGACTGAATTTTACAGGCTTAGGGGTTCAGTGGTTGTGTTTGCTACTGACTCACTAGTAATTTTCCATGACATGTATTTTTCAAATTACGATGTACATGACAAAAAATATGCAATTTTGGATATCTCATATCTGCACTAAAATTACCTGCACCAGACACATTTTACACCTTAGAAGTTAGGAAGTACAACAATGAAAACTGATCAGAAACCTTTGCCATCATTTCAGTCACACTTCATTCTGAGTACTAGTACACTGTTAGCCTTTTGTTACTGGTATAACATACATTTCTATTTCTTACATTTATGACGATTATCACTGTTGATTTTTTTTCTTTTCTCCATATTTATCTTGAATACTGTAAATCACGTTTTTTTGGTATTTCAAAACTTTTATTTCGATAGTTACGTCTGAATTGCGTAAGTACATGTATTTACAATTCTTCCTTGTGCTCATTTTCTAATACACAAAATTGTAGGTGTTTACAGTTTATCAATTGTCCTCATCAGTAATTCTTAATTTTTATATACTAGACATTGACATCTCTTAACAATAACAAAATTAGTTACATACTAATTCACGGTTTTCATTGTCCCTTCTGTATAGCAAACTTATTAGAAATAAATAATTTGCCAACATTTTTCTTTTGTTTGCATCTGCTTCCACCACAAACAAACACCTCAATTTATCTTGCTGCCGCAAACATAAATTAAAAGTGATTTACATTATGTACACTATGTTGTTCTGTTCGGAAAAGTACAGTGATAAGAGTCACAGTGGCCTTGAAATCACAGTCTTTTGACTAGTATTGGGGTGCACCAATCAGTCAACCATTGTGAGTGGATCATTTACAAACTCTTATTGTCAAGCTGCAATTAAATAAGACAAATTGAAACACCATTGTATTGAACATGCAGTAAACAACATTGTTAAAACCTGGGCTTTGAAAGCTTGAATTTTATCATGATCATACTTATACAATGTAGTAAGGGCAATCTCCATTGTTGGAATTTGAAAACTCCAGATTTCCAGCATCATGACAGATGCAGATAGATATGGTGGAATTCAGAGGATATTTTGCTTGCAGCACAGATGTTGATGTGACATGTGGAACATGATTATAAAAAGACTGGAAACTGTGCAGTGCCTACAAAATGTTGAATATTGTGTACATTGTACTCTTATCTAGTGTGCTGTTTGATATCAGTTGTATGTCTAGACGCAATGTGTTGATATTGCTGTGAGTCTTGACAAAACAATAAACTGTCAATGTTAAATCACTTCTCTCCTTTCTTGTTTTTGTACACAAGTCTATATCTGTATGACTGGTATAACTCTAGCTTCACAGTACATGAAATCACTTGTCATAGAATACCTCTGTGGTTTAAAAAATACTATAAGATGTATCTGGCCAGTGATCAGTACTAACCCATTGAGGCCATAGAGAGGGAATAACAGTATTAAACACCTCAATCTGGAATTAATGTAAAGGAAACCCTGCCAATTCTAAAGAAAACAGGCATCTCAATTTAAAAATTTAGGATATATGAAGAATGGAATTTAGGCGATTGCCTGTCAGGTATGACAAGTAAACAGAAGATTCTTGAAAGTGAAAAATTGCTTCTTGTTACTTCTCTGTACATGTTTTTTTTTTTCTTATATTCCCATTTCTCCAGAGTTCACAGACCTGCATGTGAAGAAACCAGCCCTGCAGGTATAAGACTAACTGTGGCTTAATTTTTTTTTTAATTGTTTGAGTTTGAGTCAGTTTTACATTTATTATTCACAAGACTATTTCACACCTTCATATTCAAGTAAGTGACAAATACTGATTTGGCAAAAATCGCCTGTAACAGTGCTTAGAATAACTGACTAAGATTGCTTAAGAAAAAAAATTGCAAGATGGTCAATAAATAAATGCAGGTGCTTGATATTATTAGCCTGAGTGTCAGCCTTGTTAACGGATCTTGGGGAGTGGACGAAAGCTAACACGCTTAGCCTGGGTAACATCCGGATTTTCGCTGCGCTTTCGAGCGTTGCGCAGCGAAAATCCGGATGGTACCCAGGCTAAACAAGGCTGACACTCAGGCTGTGATATTATGATTTGAATTGCAGAAATAAGAAATGAAGTACTGCTAGTGCTACATGTTTCCATGTGTAATTATTGTTTGTCCAGAAAGTACAGAATGAGTCTGACATCAACTCCCCGATGCACTCCATGCTGCTGCCTCCTAGGAAGGACCTGGACTTCACCGAGGCACTTTGGGAAAAACTCTTGGGTAAGCTCTGGGGAAAAGTACTGGAAAGTCTTTTACAGTGTTCAAGTTAAGTTCTTCCAAGGAAATTCAAATTCGTTGTTAAAAGACAAGCATGCAACGTCTTTGAGAAATTCAGCCAGGAACGGCCATTTTAATTTTTATTGTACAATTGTACTGTAGTGTAGCTCTAGTGTGCACTGTACAGTGATCAAAACCTATGACTTAACTTTATTTTGAGGCTTTAACTTTTCAGTCTTCTGGTATTTAGAAGTTCAGGACCTTTATCTGTATATAGTTCTACTATTTGAAGTTAAACACCCTGTATATATATTCTTGCAGGCTGCAGTGGATACCAGGAGTTGGTGGACTGTTTACAGCTGGTGTTGGCAGCTCTGCAACAGGGAAAGATTCAGCCTATGGTAAGGGGGAGAAGCTTACATAGTCTACTGTCTGACACCTCCATGTCCCTAGCCCTATGTCAGTGGCCTGGTTACCACACCTATAAATAGTATTATAGCTCCCAAGTCGTACATCCTCTCCACAAATAGTAGGACTCGGGAGCTACATCCTCTCCACAAATACATAGGTTTGGTAACCAGGCTACTATGTCAGGACATTGTAACTAATAGGGGTGTCCAAACATAGAGGCATTGGAACATTCAGATTTTTATGTCCAATGACATAGCAGGTACACAAATAAAAAAATCAATACTACCTGAAATGCGTCATTGATCACAAAGCAGACATAGGTGTTAAAAATTCAAGTACTTTACACATCATAATACATTATAAAATAGAATCCTCACAGTCAGAATAATCTCAAATAAACATTGATGAAGCGCTTTTTCCCCCAAGGGAGGGCATGTATTGGTTTGGGTGCAATTTCTTTCCTTAGTAACTCTGATATATGTCAAGCTCTCCAGTAAGCATTTTAAGGGCTTGTGTGTAGGTTTCTAGGATGAAACAAGTTGTTGATGTATTTGTTTGTTTGTTGATGTATTTGTTTGTGTTTACCAGGTTCACCGTAGTAACCAGAGCGAGCTGGCGTGCCTGGTGCGTGAGTCGTTCAAGGGCACGATGCGTCCTCCCGACCTTGACGGTTCCCTGCCTGTCCGACTCCTCGCAGAGATTGGCATAGAGAAGATGAAGAGGGACTACACTCACTTCTTCATTGGTACACAAAAAAAAACAGTTACTCAAGCAACTGGATATGATTTTGGAAACGGTCAGACGTTTCAGGTAGCAACCACTACCTTTCGCCAATGACACTGGAGAGTTGTCTTCACTCTTTTGCATGTCAATCAATAGTGAGTTCATAATTATAAACCTGCTTTTCTGACAACTCTCCAGTGTCACTGAAAGGTAGTGGATACTACCTGAAACGTCTGACCGTTCCCAAAATCATATCCAGTTGCTTGAGTAACTGCTTTTTGGATGTCTAACTTTCACCAATGTATTCTTCATTGGTAATTTCGGAAATAGAGACAAGCAGATTATATTTTTGCTTTATGTGTATTTTGTAAATGTAGGTGTAGGGATATACTGTATTTAATTTTTGGTTTTCATCTTTTTCTCCTCCCCGACCTTCCCAGCTGAGGAACTAACGACCTTGAGCCAGCTGTCGGCCTACTTGAAGACAGACGCAAGTCTTGAAGACAACCTTGCCTTACTGCACAAGCTTCACGTGATCTTAGAGATGGTGGCAGCCTGTAAGGCTTTCCTCAACCTCCCTCACGAAAACCTGAGGACACTGTTAGGGTAAGGACATGGGGGAGGGGGGTGACCTTGAGATAGAACACTTAGGGTTAGGACAGTGGGGGAGGGGGCATCCTTGCCGTGATCTTAGAGATGGTGGCGGCCTGTAAGGCTTTCCTTAACCTCCCTCACAAAAACCTGAGGACACTGTTAGGGTAAGGACATGGGGAGGGAGGGTGACCTTGAGATAGAACATTAGGGTTAGGACATGGGGAAGGGGGGCAACCTTGCCTTACTGCACAAGCTTCATGTGATCTTAGAGATGGTGGCAGGCTGTAAGACTTTCCTCAACCTTCCTCACGAGAACCTTAGGACACTGCTAGGGTAAGGACATGGGGGAGGGGGGAGTCCTTGAGATAGAACCTTAGAGGGCCTTAGAGGACACGGGGGAGGGGGGTAATCTTGCCTTGCTGCACAAACTTCATGTGGTCTTAGAGATGGTGGCAGCCTGTAAGGCATTTCTCAACCTCCCTCACGAAAACCTGAGGACACTGTTAGGGTAAGGACACCGAGGAGGGGTGGGGGGGATTTTGTAAGGCTATGGGGGAGGGGGGCGCCCTTGGCATGGTGCACAAACTTTGACATTGTAGTTACTAGAAGAAATAGAACTTAGAAATTTGGAACTTAGAACAAACAAGACTGAGACATACATTCCTACCATGATAGCTTTAGACCATATTGTTTTACCATATATTGTACAATGTATAACCTAACATTATCTCATATTTCCCATGCTCCCCATGTAGAATGGCCCTCCAGCACTATGGTAACCATCATCATGACGACGGCCACACCTTCCGGCTGCCCCTCAGTGCAGGAGCCTGCATCAAGAAAGTCTACGAGAGGTGGGTGGAACTCTCGTCTGGCCTCCCTTCTTTTCTTCCCTCCATCCTACATTCAGACCACCTTCCCTCACTCCACATCTACTGCTTATACTCCGATCCCCTTGTCTCCTTCATTTTAGCTCTTTTTTCCTACCTACCTATTATCCAAGATTATATAATACCTGTCTTCTGAGTCATCTGTTTTAGTGGAGTTTTTGTGTCAGATAAGAAGTGGTCAACTTTGGCCAGTCCTTTGAGTGACCACCTCCTATAGACAGGTTTGACGGTACTTTTAATTTTTTTTGGTGGGTTTCTTATAGAAGCCAATTTTTCACTTTTATCCAGCCTCCTGTTTCATCATTCCTTAACTCTGAAGCTGTTGTGTCTGATACAAGAAAGGACAGACACTTCTAACTTTTGCCAAAAACAGTTGCTCAAGCAACTGGATATGATTTTGAAGTTACTTTGAACTCCAGTTGCTTGTGAGTAACTGTTTTTGGCGTATCTTATTAGAAGTGTGTCGGTGAAGGATAGACACCCAGGTAATAAGTTATACTTCACCAACGTACTTCTAACTTTGTTTGTTTGTTTGCTGCAGAAGCCAAGCCGCGGTGTGGCGGTTAGAGCAGACATCGGGAGGGAAGGAGGACAGACACTTCTAACTTTGTTTGTTTGTTTGTTTCTTGTAGAAGCCAGGCCGCGGTGTGGCGGTTAGAGCAGACTTCAGGAGGGAAGGATGACCAGGTGACCTCGGTGTGTCAGATCAGCACTCGACCTCCGTATGAACATGCCGTGTGCGCTCTGGAAGGTCGGCAGAACTTTCATCTGGTTTCCATGGTGACAGATGGTTTTCATGTGGCATTAACCCTAATAAGAGCAAACGAAGCAGCCATTTGGCTACCAGTTCTCTATTGGTTATAGAATTATGTACAATGTACATTTTTAGTAGAGAAAAATGTTAAACCTTAGCACACTGAAGTAGCTGTTCGGCTACAAATTCTCTATTGGTTACATGGTAGCCTCCACCAGGCCTTTGTACGGGAATACGGATCGTAGAATTCGGCAAAAAAGAGAGTAAAATTGGCCAAGGGAGTCCGGCCGCGGGGAGGTAGTTTCTTTCCCTCCGCGGCCAGTCAAACCTACAAGGCGGCCAAACTCCCCTGGCAAATATTCTCCTATATATAGCCAGCGTAGTTAGTCTGGTAGAGACTAATTACAGGGTTAGGCAGTCAGATCAACCAAAGATCTGTGCTTTGCTTTGCTTACTTTTAATAAGATTGGAAGGGAATGTTTCTACATTTTCAGTTGCATCTGTCTCCTCTGATTGTTGTTTATTTGAACTTCACATTTCAGACATGACCTTAGGTGACCCCGCGGCAGACACCCAGCCTTACTACCTCACCACAGTTCAGCAGAGCAGGGTCCACTTCACCTGAACACCCCCGGAAACAGAGTGGAACATGCCCATCTCGTGCCTAAGTTCATGATGTAATTGGACCGTACTATTATCATAAGAGGGGTTATGCCCATACATTTTTTAAAGTGTTTCCAGAGTACAGATTTTGAATCATGAAAACTAGATGGGATCTTTAAGTCTAGAAATGGCCATCCAAGACAAATTCTTTTTGCCTTTCAAAAAATCACAAATTTTGGGATGGAATATACATCTATAACATTATTACTACCAAGCTAATGTATATATTATATGTATTATCATATGCAGATTAGAACTTTGTATGCTCATGAATTAGATGATAATGACTTTTGGAAGAAACCGATAAATGTTATATGACATCCGATAAGTATGATAACCAATAAATGTTATATTACATCCGTATTTATCAATTTTTTGTAAACCTGTAACACAATAAAAATGCCTTGCTTCTCTCTATATTGGAACTACATGTATTGACCAGCTAAGCTGTTTGTTAGAATTCAATTATTGTATATGTAAATGTATTACAGTATTAAAGTGGAATTGCAACTGTATTTTTGTTGTTCTTCTTTCATGTTTGGATGAAAAGTGTCTTGACTACTAGTATTATTAGATGGTTCTTGAACAAAAATTGACCCTTTTCTTGGCCAGATTCCATCTTTCTTTAACTGAAGTGGACTTCTGAATAGATAGAGATGCAAAAACATTTCAGTTTCAACCACAGATATAGCATCATCACTAGAAAGCTTTAAACAACTCCTGCAATTAGTTGTGCAAAGATTGAGTGTAACTAGATAGTAATATTAGCGGTTGCTAATATAGACAGGTTTGCGTTGTACATAGTCATTGTAGTGTAACTTACAATATGTTTTTTGTGTGTGCTTTACCTTTTACAGGGTTCCTTCCCATCCTTTTCTAATCCCCACTTACCTTGTAAACAATTTCGTCATCAATATACTAACAAAAGAACAATAGTTACACCCAAAACAAAATTTCACTTCTTTATGACTTCTCTATGCCCCATGACCTTTAACCTTTTGAGGGTCATGCAGGCGTCAACGGCGCCCTCCCCACGCCTTGCCCACCTACCTACCGAACTACCTACCTACCTACCGAACCTACCTACCTACCTACCCTCGCAAATGCAAGGTGATGTTTCTGCACTTCTCAAAAACTGTGCCACCACTACCCTCACTAAAGGTCTCATTCCGGTATTCTTCCGCGTGGGTACTCTCAAGTAGATCGTACTAAAAATTAAATGCGTATATGGATGTGTGTTTATATCCGCCAGAAATTGCATTTTAGCTAAGTCAGTTGGCGTAAACCGCTTGTGATATGAGAGGTTGTTTGTATGTGCTAAAATTAGTGGGTAAGTGTTGACATCCGCGCGACAGGTCGGATGTTTACACGCTGTTGTGATGGGTAATGCGGTCAGGAGGTAGCAGCGCTGGAGGACCTCTGGCGGAGAGTGGCCAAGTGCAGTTTATAAATAAATAAAAAGAGATTGTTGGGTTAGATCTGGTTGGGAATTTTTTGACGTAATGTAGGGCCATTGTGCTCAAAACTGATTGGATAGACTAGATGGCTGTCATTCAAATTATTGGGTTTTGGCCTATGTAAAGTTACGTATTTTGCCATAGGCGGCTATAGTTAACAAAAACTCACGAATGGGACCTTAAAATTGACAACTACCCCCTAGTACAAGTTCAAGTAGCTAAACTCCTGGGGCTCCATATACAAGCTGACCTAAAATGAAACACCCAGGTGGACCACATGGCCAAGAAAGGAAGCCAGAGGCTTCAGTCTTCTTTGAGAAGACTCAAAATCTTTCGGAGTTACTAGAGAAGATCTTGTCACCATATATACAAGTTTTGTCCGACCCACTTGTGAGTACGCTGTCCCAGTTTGGCAACCAGCCATTACACAGTCCCAAAGACGTCAACTGGAAAGAATACAGCGAAGGGCTTTTCGAATCATCCTTGGGCCTGACTACACAACCTATACTGACGCTTGCAACGCGCTATGCCTCATGACACTACAGCAAAGACGTGAACACCTTTGTCAGACATTCGCAAGAAGACTACTACAGTCTGAGTCCTACCGGAATTGGCTACCCCCTTCCGGGGAGACGTCAGTGGTAGAAGAACAAGAAACAGCAGCCTATTGGACACTATTAAAACACGAACTAATCGTTACAGGAATAGTCCCATACCCTATCTTGTAACACTCTTCAACAATAATGCAACCAGTATTTGCAGTTTCGATTCAAATATGTTGTAATGCACATATGTTAAGTTTGGGAGAAGAAATTCATTAGATTTTAATTCCTATGTAAAGATCTTTACCTGACCTGAATTATCACCTTGACCGTATTAGATTTTGACGTATGGTCTCAACCATTGCATGATACGAGAATTCATCAATAATTGGAGATTATTTTCTCATAATATGTTTTTTACAACGGCCCTGACTGGAATGTTTCAATGATTGCTAATATTAAATTTCTAGTCCCCCAAAATAGTTCAACCAGCACTATGCAATGCCGAACTAATATGTTTGAATATACACCATTTATGACAAGTCATCAATAATAATGTATTAATAATAGGCTTATTGAAATCTGTATGCACGATATGTATTTAACCTCTGACAATGTCTACTCAGAGTTTATCTTTTAATCTGTTAATTTGTAGATTGTATTTTATTAATAATTTATGTATTTCTTTAATAATTTGTAACCCATGTATTTGTCGAATTGTTTTAGCAGTGCAATTCAGTGCGGGTTTACACCAAGCACTGCGAAACTGTAATCTTTGAGAAATAAAACCAATCACTACCACTACCTACCTACCGAACGGCCTACCTACCGAACGACCTACCTACCTACCTACCGAACGACCTGCCTACCTACCTACCGAACTACCTACCTACCTAGCCTCGCAAATGCAAGGTGATGTTTCTGCACTTCTCAAAAACTGTGCCACCACTACCCTCACTAAAGGTCTCATTCCGGTATTCTTCCGCGTGGGTACTCTCAAGTAGATCGTACTAAAAATTAAATGCGTATATGGATGTGTGTTTATATCCGCCAGAAATTGCATTTTAGCTAAGTCAGTTGGCGTAAACCGCTTGTGATATGAGAGGTTGTTTGTATGTGCTAAAATTAGTGGGTAAGTGTTGACATCCGCGCGACAGGTCGGATGTTTACACGCTGTTGTGATGGGTAATGCGGTCAGGAGGTAGCAGCGCTGGAGGACCTCTGGCGGAGAGTGGCCAAGTGCAGTTTATAAATAAATAAAAAGAGATTGTTGGGTTAGATCTGGTTGGGAATTTTTTGACGTAATGTAGGGCCATTGTGCTCAAAATTGATTGGATAGACTAGATGGCTGTCATTCAAATTATTGGGTTTTGGCCTATGTAAAGTTACGTATTTTGCCATAGGCGGCTATAGTTAACAAAAACTCACGAATGGGACCTTAAAATTGACAACTACCCCCTAGTACAAGTTCAAGTAGCTAAACTCCTGGGGCTCCATATACAAGCTGACCTAAAATGAAACACCCAGGTGGACCACATGGCCAAGAAAGGAAGCCAGAGGCTTCAGTCTTCTTTGAGAAGACTCAAAATCTTTCGGAGTTACTAGAGAAGATCTTGTCACCATATATACAAGTTTTGTCCGACCCACTTGTGAGTACGCTGTCCCAGTTTGGCAACCAGCCATTACACAGTCCCAAAGACGTCAACTGGAAAAGAATACAGCGAAGGGCTTTTCGAATCATCCTTGGGCCTGACTACACAACCTATACTGACGCTTGCAACACGCTATGCCTCATGACACTACAGCAAAGACGTGAACACCTTTGTCAGACATTCGCAAGAAGACTACTACAGTCTGAGTCCTACCGGAATTGGCTACCCCCCTTCCGGGGAGACGTCAGTGGTAGAAGAACAAGAAACAGCAGCCTATTGGACACTATTAAAACACGAACTAATCGTTACAGGAATAGTCCCATACCCTATCTTGTAACACTCTTCAACAATAATGCAACCAGTATTTGCAGTTTCGATTCAAATATGTTGTAATGCACATATGTTAAGTTTGGGAGAAGAAATTCATTAGATTTTAATTCCTATGTAAAGATCTTTACCTGACCTGAATTATCACCTTGAACGTATTAGATTTTGACGTATGGTCTCAACCATTGCATGATACGAGAATTCATCAATAATTGGAGATTATTTTCTCATAATATGTTTTTTTACAACGGCCCTGACTGGAATGTTTCAATGATTGCTAATATTAAATTTCTAGTCCCCCAAAATAGTTCAACCAGCACTATGCAATGCCGAACTAATATGTTTGAATATACACATTTATGACAAGTCATCAATAATAATGTATTAATAATAGGCTTATTGAAATCTGTATGCACGATATGTATTTAACCTCTGACAATGTCTACTCAGAGTTTATCTTTTAATCTGTTAATTTGTAGATTGTATTTTATTAATAATTTATGTATTTCTTTAATAATTTGTAACCCATGTATTTGTCGAATTGTTTTAGCAGTGCAATTCAGTGCGGGTTTACACCAAGCACTGCGAAACTGTAATCTTTGAGAAATAAAACCAATCACTACCACTACCTACCGAACGACCTACCTACCGAACGACCTACCTACCTACCTACCTACCGAACGACCTACCTACCTAGACGGAGCGGGCCTACCCAAATCAAGTGCGGGCCTACCCAAATCAAGTGCGGGCCTACCCAAATCAAGTGCGGGCCTACCCAAATCAAGTGCGGGCCTACCCAAATCAAGTGCGGGCCTACCCAAATCAAGTGCGGGCCTACCCAAATCAAGTGCGGGCCTACCCAAATCAAGTGCGGGCCTACCAAATCAAGTGCGGGCCTACCCAAATCGAAGTGCGGGCCTACCCAAATCAAGTGCGGGCCTACCCAAATCAAGTGCGGGCCTACCCAAATCAAGTGCGGGCCTACCCAAATCAAGTGCGGGCCTACCCAAATCAAGTGCGGGCCTACCCAAATCAAGTGCGGGCCTACCCAAATCAAGTGCGGGCCTACCCAAATCAAGTGCGGGCCTACCCAAATCAAGTGCGGGCCTACCCAAATCAAGTGCGGGCCTACCCAAATCAAGTGCGGGCCTACCCAAATCAAGTGCGGGCCTACCCAACGACGTACCTACCGAACTACCGAAATTCATGTCACGTGTTCCCTACCCCAAGAGCTACCTACCTACCGAAATTAGCATGTCCAGATCGCGATATATCAAAACCAGAAGTTCTGCTGCAGTACCTAGGAAAGCCGCCAGGGGGCCCAAAATCTAATCATTCCTAGCTCTTATGAAGACCTACCCACCTACCAAGTTTCATGGCAATGCATATTAAGCTTCTTGAGTTATGCTGTTCACAAACAGAGAATATACGGTTCGCCTCGCTTTACCCTCTAGCGGACCAACTCCGGATCCCCTGCACTGGCATGTTTTCTTTTTATCTGGTCAATTTCTACTCTTTCCTGGGGGGCCCGCAAGCCCTTTTCTGTAGAGCATATTCGCCGTTTTAATTCTACGTAATGCGTTATAGCCACTTGGAATTTATCGTAAAGCGTATTAAAAAATCGAGAAGTTTCCGAATTCAGCATAGATCGTTGTCGGGACCCCCCTTGCAGGCCCCCTTTCCTGAGCTGTCTCCTGAAGTCTGGTAGAGGTTATACAGCTAGAACTTAATGTGTAGACTCAGACGTGCCCCTCTGGGCAAAACCTACAATTGAAGTTGACGGCTGCAAATTAGAGGTAGGAGATCGGGTCGCGCAGTTGGCTGACCTGTAGGCAAGGCTAGCTTCCGTTGAGTTGACACACCGAGCCACGGGTCATCCCACAAGTGTATAGTATGTCGTGGAAAAATGTTCACCCCACACAGAAGTCCTCACACAGAAGGAAAAGGTGTCATTTAATGGAGCTATGGGATATGACAATTAGATTAGATCAGGGTAGGTTGAAAGTGAGCTATAATTAACGTTTTGATCAGATACTTCAATTATGTTCCTTGGTTGGGTGGAGGACAGGGGATTTCAGACAGATGGAGAGTCGCAAGCGACGGCATTGTTAAGTTCAAGCAGCCTGAAAGGCAGGTCGTAAAAACGTTTACAAACGCCTATACAGTCACTGTATAATGGACTGGTAAGCTTGAAAAAAAACTTCAATTTCCATAATGAACTTGAAATCAGGAAGTGTACTCATACCAAAACTTCATGCCACTTATCCCACCTACTAACCCCTGTACTTGAGGACAATCTGTCGTCCCTAGGCTCGGCCTCGACAAGATCCTCAAGACCACCCTACTAATACCAAAGCCTCACCATCTCATCATAAAAAAACAACTTTAAAGTTCCGCCGCATTAGGTCCGCCAAGTTTCCTTCCCGTCATGCTAAGAAAATTACGTCAAGTGCTAAACACAATCAGACTCGCCTTTATTACGTCAAAGCCATCGCCTCTATACACTTCTGCCAAAATGAACACACAACCAGGTAGGCTTTCAATTACTGCTCTTTCCAAACATACCGCTAGGTGTCGTCCTTACACTGTAGGCCTGTGACAGGTCCCACAATGCACCTCACTCAACTTTGACCTGCCCCATTGCATGACGGGAAACAAAATGGCGGCGCCCATAAAATCCAGGTAAAATAGAACAGGTTTTGCTATCGCAAACCTGTAATAAGTCGTTCTGTGTGATATAGCCAGCTGCCGCCGCGCCACATGCCTGCAAAGCTGGTGTGTTACGCCGAATGGCGGTTATACCGGCTATACAGATACAGAAGCTGGTGTGTTACACCAAAGGGCGTTTATACCGGCTATACTGATACAGGTACAGATACAGACTTCAATGAGGTCTACAGCCCAATGTACAAAATTTTGGAAAGGTGGTAATTTGGAAATTAGTTTGTGTGACATCATAACATTTCAAATTGGGGCAGATAGACCCGTATTCGATAGACTTTATTAGTTTATACTATGATGATGATATTTGAGGTTTGAAATAGTATTTTCATAGTGTCATTGCTATAACGTTCCAGTTCGTATCAATAGTAGAGCAATATTTTAACAAGTTGGCTAGGTATAGTTATAAAACGGATCGCTGGAGGTCCCCACTGCAGTGTCATCCACACTTTAATTTAAATTTCGCGCCACTTTGCACTAGGTCTCGCACTGGATTGTAAAGTCTCGCGAGACTAAGCTAGTCCACTTACCAACTTAGGGTAGTATTGAATTTTGTTTCGTTATGTTTTACAGATAGCAGGCCTGTCAAAAGGATAGAGTTTTTACTACAAATAGAATTATTTTGAGACATAATCATGTTTTGCGTTATACTTTATTCCTTAACTACATTGTAAGGATAGTTTTTTACGTTTTTACGATAGTCTTTTTCAAAATCGTGCACCCCTATCAATTTGAAACCGTCCGTCCTAATTGACCAATCAGCGCGCAGCGTTCGGTCAGGGCACACGTTTCAAAAACATTTTGGTGGACAACAACTTCCGAGTTGTGTGTTTGCGACGAATTTTCGCTTTTTACAGCGATACTGCTCGTTTTTTTCTCTTCAAATCTTCTCATGAAGATGAGATAACTTCTTTCAGAGTGTATTCCCACCTTTTGTGCGAGAAAAAGCTGCCGTTTCGTCCCCAAAGCAGTGTTCAAAACTGGACAGAATGGAGCAGGTAGGAAAAATCAAAATGGCGCCTGGTTGGAAAAAAATAATTTATATATCGAGTTTTCATACGATTACGGAGCTATCTTAGACCAGATTGTCCTAAGATCGCAAGCCATAAAGTTTGGCAGAATGTACGATGTCTTTTTGTAAGCATGTGCGTGCAACGGTTACATAGTAGGGAATTTTTGAAATAAATACTTGGGAGTTCGTGATGTCATAAACTTCTGTCGTCTTTATGGACGATATCTAGTCTAGGATTTTGAATAATTTGTGGCATCTTTGAAAAATGTAGTACTACATAATAGATGAAATTAACCCTGTAACTATTCAATATGCATATTTGAAGAACATGATATATATTCCTACCAGTAACATTGTTTTATTTACACTAAAACTGGAGAGAGAAGTACTTTCTCAACAATTCTTTTTACACAACCAAGGTAAAGTACTGTACTGTACCTGCAAAATTATGTTAGCTACCTTCAGAATCAGAGTGGCATTGTCTCTCTAGCTTACGTATTTAAGTATTGGTGCCTTAAGTCTCTAGCCTGGGTGCCATCCCCAGTAGTATTCGCTCACTAGCTTATAACCAGTTACTGTATAGAGTGTGCAAATACTACTGGGCTGGGCAGCTACTACTGGGGATGGCACCCAGGCTATTAAGTCTCATGGCATTAAGTTATCATCGTGATTGAACTGTTCAACCATAATTCATGGACAACCTTTCTCCGTAGGTTATCCCGACCACCCCAAGCCGTAAGGTCCTGGGTACAGTGAACACACCATCCAGCGGGCGTGTCTTCAGACAGGCCAAGCGACGGAGCGTGGTGTCTACACCGGGTATCGTTCCAGCGCCAAAGACACCACTCAGAGGACTAAGGTAGGCCCAATACTACTAGCATTTCTTCTTAAGTGTTGGTAGATCTTGTAATCTGCAATTTCACACGTAGTAAGACATTGTATTTTTCATGGATGAAAAGGCAAAAGAAAGTGCATGATGCAAGTCTGGGGCCTGCATGTCCTTTATGAAAGGCGGAATCAGGCCTTTTTAGTCTTTGCCCAAAATCATCGTAATTCGTAACCAGTACACTAGCAGTAATTGTTCACAATCAGCTCTGAGAATTTAACATAATTCGTAATTGGCAGCAAAAATTTTGCGTACTTCGTAATCACTACCCCACCCCGGTACAGGTGTTCATGAGTGTAAAACTAGAAGTGTTACCTGTATAAGGTGTATGTAGAAAGAAAAAGAAAATATTGCTTTCCTGTCAACAGGTTCAACCCCGAAACGCCACAGAAGATCTACAAGGATGAAAACGATGCTCCCGCCATTACTATAGCAACCAGCCTGTCTCCTGAAGAGAAACTAGTCAAGGCACAGAAGGTAAGAAAGAATGTACTTTATCAACAACTGTTAGTTCCAGTTTAGAAAGAAACTAGAAACAGCACTACAAGATACAGCACTACAAGAAGCAATCTACAGGTAGCCTGGTATCTAGGCCATCGTGGTTGGGGCAGGTTGTCTTCAGGGCTCTAATAGTTTCCCCCTGTCCAGGTCAACAGACTGCCCAGTAGGAGTGTTACGTCTGTGATAGAGAATTTGCATGCCCGGAGTTTATTAGCCCTACTCCTGCAAAACCTACCGGAAAACCTAGCTGAGGCGGGCGGGGAAGAGCTTCAGCAGCCCTGAAGAAAACCCGCCTCAACCATGATATAGACTGGACACTGAGTTAGTCTACAAGAAGCTACTCTGGTTATTTGTATTCCATCCTTTTTCTGTTGTTGTTTCAGGACCTCCAGGATAAAGATCAGCTGATTCTGCAGTTGCAGCAGCAACTGGCCAGTCTGCAGCTCCACAGTCCTGTACAGCTGCAGCAAAAGTCTGCAGCACAGCAGCTCCGCAGCCCTACAGTTCTGCAGGAAAAACCTGCAGACCAAGGTACGAAAAATACAGACTTTCATCACCTCAGATATGCACTTATTGTCATCTGTGGTTAGTGCATCTACTATGTGATACTTCTTCTTTTGTCTGTTGATATTTATCTATTTAACCATAGCCAGATATTTCACTTTAAGTAGGACTGCAGGATCCAGTGACAGGTAGAAATGAAAGCAAATGAGGTCAATCTTTTTTATCTTTTTTATGCTTGATGTAAAAAGCAAACTTATTCCCCTGTTCACTACAGGCCCCCCTGCGACATCAGAAGAAACTGCAGCTAGCATGGCGAGCGCATCTACAGAAGACCAGTCAGACTCAACAGTACCCAACATCCCCACCATCAGGGAACCAGAGAGTCCCGTGTTCGATTCCCACGCAGACGACACAACAGACGAGACAACCATGAACCTGGTCAACATGCCGCCGTTGTTTGTTCCCTGTTACCCCGGCAACGAAGTAAACAGTTGCTATGATGACGACGAGGAGGAAGATACCATGCAGATCCTGGGGGAGGCGTCAGCTTTCGTGAGGGAGACGCTAGGCGACCCTACACCCCCTCCAGAAGGAATGGTAGCGCCCAATGTGCCATCTTCAAGCACAGTGGACTGTACCAAACCAGAGGCTGCGCGGGGAGGTCAGGATGGCTTCTCCATCAGTGTTGGGCGGTATGTGGACGGAGTGATTTCTCAAGCAGTAACAAATGTCTTAGAAGATCAGTTCAAGATGTCAGAAGATCAGCTTAAGACATGGGAAGAGCCAAACGAAGAAGAAGACATCGCATCTGAAGACGAGCTGTCTGAAAGCTCCCCCTGTCGGAATCTGCGTGACATTGCAGCCGAGCTCCAGGCCGACCTCTCGTACTCGTCCCCGTTGCCACGGGCAACGGAAAAGGCTGTCTGCAAGTTCGGCGAGTCACAGGCCTCCACAGCAGGCGAAGCGCCCCCTAGCACAGACACAGGAACTGCAGGAAGCCTAGTTGATGCTGAAGCTCCCCCTAACCAGGAGGCCTGTACTGCAGAACCTGTTGATGCAGTGGCGCCCCCTAGCCCAGAGGCCCATACTGCAGATGCAGCTTCAGAAGCCGAGGCGCCCCCTAGCCCAGAGGCCCATACTGCAGGCATCTCCACCCTTGATGATGAAGATATGGATGCTAAAGTGCCCCCTAGCCCAGAGTCCCATATTGCAGATGAGGCTGTTGATGCTGAAGCTCCGCCTAGCCCAGAGGCCCATACTGCAGGTGATGCTGAAGCTCCCCCTAACCAAGAGACCTGTACTGCAGAGCCTGTTGATGCAGTGGCGCCCCCTAGCCCAGAGACCCATATTGCAGACGAGGCGGTGGATGCGTTTGTTGATGACATCCTGACCAGCGCAGCGGAGCAGCTGCAGTCCACCCCTAACAGCGCCCCCTGGAGGAATCTGCGCGGCATTGCAGCCCAGCTCCAGGCTGACCTGTCCTTCTCCTCTCCTGCCCCGGCTTCCCGGGAATCCGCTCAGGTTGCCATGGAGGTTGCCATGACAACAGACGCCCACTCCGTCATCGACCGAGCTTTCCATTTCCTGCACGAGCAGGACTATCCAGTAACTGAGGAAACCGTAAGTACGGCAACAGCTGATGCCCAGGAGCAGCACGTTACCACAGAAACAGCATCCGTGGCAACAACAGCATCCACGGAAACAGTTACCAAGGATACAGGTAGCTCACCCCTGGCCACGACACCGAAGAAGTTCGCAGACAGTGCTACAGCAACATCTCCCGTAGCGACAGTCGTCAAGGAGACGGAGATGACACCGAAAAGTCACTTCAGCGTTGCTACGGCAACCACACCGCCCAGGGTCGTTGCCATGGCAACAGGAACATCGCCCGTGGCGACGGTAACCAAGGAGACGGAGATGACCCCCACGAAGTTCTGTGACGCTGCGGCAGGTACGACGCCCCCTCCAGCCCTGGTTACCGTGGCAACAGGAACCACGCCCATCCAGCAGGTTGCCATGGAGACAATGATGACGCCTGTCAGGATGACGGAGGAGGGAACCGCCACGACTCCAGGTCAGTGACCTTTGGCCTGTCTGTTGGCCAATAGCAGTAATACCAAAGAAACAGTAACTCAAGCAACTTGCTATTGCTATTACCTTGTAGGTATCTCAGGGTTTTATCTAGAAAAATTTAGTATGAGGGAGCAGATCACTAGCATGTCGAGGGAGCAAAGTGAGTTTTACAAGAGTAGCACAGTTTGTAATGCTACTGCTAGAATGCATTGTTATGACGTTTTGTTCTTATATTTTCACTGGAAAAAGATCATTTTGAGAAACATTTAATGTTACCCAGGCCACAACCTGAAACTTGATATGAGGGAACTGGCTGGTTACATAAGGGAGCAGCGCCCTTATTCCCTTGTTTAGAAAAACCCTGGTATCTCTGCATTACCTGGATTTCTAACCTTTCTTGACCTTTGCCCTCCAGGCCTGGTGCCCCACATCACCACGGGAACAGCGATGACCCCGGAACAGCAGCAGGAGGACAGCCAGAATGTCGAGTTAGTCCTCTTACATTTTTTCCACAACAAAAGTTCAAAAGTTTAAGTTAAAGCCTTGTTTCCTCTTCCAAATTTCCTCACTGTAAGTAAAATCTGTAGATACATAGCACATCAGCAGAGTGTACTGCACCTGCACGAAACCCTTAAGGTTGTATTTGCCTATATATGTGTAAAGACTTAACAATAACATCCTGTCTGTAGTTTCCAAATGTTATGTCCAAAAAGATATCCTCTGCAACAGGCAAAATTCTGATGCAACATTGACCAAAAATCCAACGAAAACCGTGAAAAATTAGGGTTTTGCAGGTGCAGTACGTTCTGCCAACGTGTTAGGCAGAGGCAGATCCCCCCAAACTAACACATATACATGTATATCTGTTTCCCCCAGCCTGTCCACCCTGGATGAGTCCGGTCTGCGTCGCCGCGCCCAGGCTCTTACTATCAGCAACGAGCTTCTGAGGAACGACATCAGCGCGCTCAACGCCGACCGCGTCAGCCTCAGCCAATCAGTCAACACCCTCAAACACAGGCTGGAGAACAGTGACGCTGACCTCAGGTAACCCCTGAACTTTGCACTCATCTGACCTCAGATTACCTTTGACTCTCTTAGCTGACCTGACATCAGATTACCTTTGACCCTATCAGCTGACCTTGACCTCAAATAAACCCTAAACCTCTCAGCTGACTGTAAATAACCTTTGAGCTTCTTGGCTGAACTGACTTCTGACCTCTGATGACCTCTTACCCTTTCAGCTGAACTAACCTCAAATAAACTTTGAACTCCCCAGATGACCTTACCTGAACCAGATCTTACACACAGATAACCTCTGAACCTTTCTCCTGACCCCAAAGCACCATGTGTAAGGGGCTGAAGTCTGATGTTGTTGTTCCCTGTTCAGAGCTGAAGTTGCCCGTCTGACAGCGGAGAAGGAGACTGCAGCAGCAGAACTGCAGGAGTCTGCAGACAGACTGCAGGATACAGAACAGAGGCTGCAGGACTCACAGCTTCTGGTGCAGAACATGTCCAGAAACATGCAGGTAAGGCTGACAAAACTTCTTATTTTTTCTACATCTTGAAGTTTGATTGATTGAAACAATACAATACATGTGGGACACAGGCAGCTGTTGCTGGTGTTGTGTCCCACATATAGTTTTAACAAACAAGTACAGGATAGACAATACTCATTTTCACTTAAAGTGAGGAAATTTGACAGTAAAATCGGTGGCATGGCAGGATTTGAACCCGGGACCTCTTGGTTCTGAGTGGAGCACTCTGCCATTACACCACACGACCACACTGCATTTAACAAGTAATATACAACAGAGTACTAGTATGTCAATGAGGGTTTGACATCCAGGTAACATCTGAAAGTTTTCAAAATCTATACTGTTGCTTGAGTAACAATTTCCTTGTGTTACCATTTTTTTATCCCATCTCTTTTGAAGTTTTTATTTTATTTCATTGTTTCTATCATTATCTTCTCTCAGCAGGGTGAGGACAGCCTGAAGACCCAGGAGGAGCAGGCTGCTGTGATTGGTCAACTGCAGAGAAAAAACAACCAATTAGAGGAGGACCTGCTGAGGTCGTACCAGCAGCACAAGGAAGAGGTGGGGATCGTCTCAAACTGTTCATTTGCTCCTGTGAACAAAGTCGTTTTATTGTGATGTGTATCATATCTGGTCTCGTGTGTCAACCCATGTTGCCTTTCCTACTTTAGATGGCCCAGAATAACCTTCACCCATCATCTTTCTATACGATCTCTATTACTTGACCTGTGACCTTTCTCCTCCATGTGACCTGTGACCTTTCTCCTGCATGAGCATTCCCATGCGATGTAGAGATGCTGCAGCTGTAACCTTTATATGTGACCTGTAACCTTTCCCCTGTGTGACCTGTGTCCTTTGCCCCCAGCTGACCTGTGTGACCGTGACCGGTACGGCCGGCACCTGGAGCAGAGCCAGGTGGAGATGCTGCAGCTGGAGGAGGACCTGCAGGTGTACATCGACCTGTTCCAGGAGATGGAGACGGGCAAGACCCTCAACGTAAGTCCTGCATGCTGCCCAAAGGCTAAGGGGTCCCTTTGCTGAAGTTATGTTTTCAGTGCTGTTTGCACACCAATAGTACTGTGTAACTAATTTAGGACCCTCAACGTAAGTCCTTCTTGTCAATCCCGTGTTACTCTGAACGTAAGACCTGCATGCTTCTCTTCCTAGATAGTGTGTGTTGTCCAGTGGTTAGTGACCCTGCCTCTGGACCAAGAAGTTGGGAGTTTGAATCCCAGCTTTTGTCACTCACCCAACATTCACGCTACTGATTATGGTCACAGTCCTTAGGACAGAACGTTAAGCTGTGGTCCACTGTTCATTGTGCTTGTCGAAAAGAGCCAGGGGAATTACAATGAACCTGTAAATACTGTACATAGCATCTGTCTTCTCTGTCATGACCAGTGGGAGATAAGCTCTTCAGTGAGCTAGAACTTGATCACTTTTCTTTTCTCAAACTGGAGGGAGGGGGTGCCTTTAGCAAGAAGGTTATGTTTCCAGTGCTATTTTTACACCAGTATACAATTTGTACAGACATATTCTTGAAATTTAAGTGCCAGAAAAAAACAAGAAAACCTTTGTTGAAGTTCTGAAGTAGATATATATGACCAAAACAAGGCCTTTACACTGAGTCCTGCCATGGACATGTACATCTGTTCACAATAGTATCTTTTTTTTTTTTTTACAGAATGATAACGCCAAACTGAACCAGGAAAGTGCCGAGCAGATACAGGAAATGTTCAGCAAAGCTGAGAAGGAGCGGGAGAGTCTACTCCAGGAGAGGGGGGAGCTAGAGCGCCTGAGGGACGAATGTGATCGGCGCACGAAAGAGTTGGATGAATGGGAAAAAGTGATGGTTGCGGAGAATAAGAAGTTGAAGTTTGCAGCTGAAGATGCAGAGAGAAAGGAAAGTCAGGTGGGAGAAAATACTATAGATTTGTTGATTATGATGGTGTTATTTTTGCAGGATTTAATTTGGCAGGCAATGATGTAAAGCAGGTCAAAAGTGGCAGAAAGCTACATTGGCAATGTTATGCTTATGCACTGGAGACTTGCACAAAGATAAAACACAGTACGTTTTGTACTATAGATACTATAAAATTTGCAGAATTCATTGCGCTCTTACAGTTGAAACTGTTTTTGATTGGTCCAATGTTGCCTTAGCATAGAGCTGCCTTCTGATTGGTTGAATGTTTCTAACCTCTGATTGGTTGACTGTTTCAGACCAATGAGGACCTGTTCTCAGCGATGATGCAGGTTTCAGATCTGAGTGCGGACGTTGCACTTCTTACTGTTGGTAAGCTACATGCTTTTTACAGAATCTCGCACTGTTGGGGGCTGATTGGGCCTCCTGGCTGAGAGCTTTGGCCATACAACTCTAACTTCCATTCCCAGAACTGTCAATACAAGCTCAGGATTCTTTACCACTATGAAAATCAGTCCAGCATGAGCTCAGGATTTTCTGTCACTATGGTAACCGTTCTCTGTCAAACAAAAACTGGTCCATGTTAGCACTTATCCACCAGTCAACAGGATTAAGTTGTTCCCAAATTATGGGTAGACAAACTTTGAGAGAGTCTAAAGTACAACACATGAGTAAAGTTTGTGACCGGGATTACCACAGGCGGAGCCTCTTCATCCCAAAGATGGTATCAAGGTATCAAGCCTTTCAAGGTACAAACTGCATCAAAATGATGAGTTCTCTACTTCTCTTTCTAACTACTCCTCCCACCCCTGCAGCTGAAGAGGAGTGCCAAGCGAAGCTGCAGGAGTCTGCGTCACGCTGCGATGAACTGCAGTCAGAACTGCAGGAGAAAAGGGCGGAGCTGGTCGGTTGCCAGGCAACACTCAGTCTGCAGGAGGGCGAGATCGAAACACTGCAGGACAGGTACGTTTCTTAGCTTATTTGTTTGTTTGTTTGAGCCTTTGTTCATTATTCAGGAGTTAGAGGACAAAGCACTGTGGGGCAGGTATTGGTATTGGTGATAGGGGTGTGGTCATAGTCAAGATCCATAGTCCATAGTCAAGATACAAGTGTTGAGCTCCGAATGCAACTATTTCAGTAAAAAATGCAAATCATTCTAGAATCTCAATAAACCATGAACATTGTCCCTGTCCTTGGTGCTGAAAGTCAGCTTTTCTCCTCACTTCTGGTAGTAAAGATCGGTGAAGTCAGTGCACTGCTAGACACATATTTGCAGAGGTACAGGTTTGTATGATTATGAATACCAAAGTCTTGCTGTAATGTGGCTGACAGATGTCTCTGTTTTTTCCATAGGCTGAGGGAGTCTGAGTCAAAGATGTCCAAAATGAATGAACAACTGGATGCTGAGTTTGAGCGGTGAGTTTGGATTCTTTGTTACCTCATCACAGCACTAGCATACACTGTAGTATTGTTTGACGCTATTTGTTTATGGGTCTAGAAGGGTTGCAAAATAGTATGGGTAAGGGGGTGAAGTCTGCCATTTCTGATTCTCATGACTTGAAAATGTTTTCTTGTCTAATGCACAGATTTGGCATGTGTGTGTGCGTGTGTATTTGTGTGTGTGTTTGTTTCCTAATGTCCATAATACTGCATTGCAATACATGATCAGTCCTGCTATTTTTGTGTATGTATGGGACTGTAAATGTTGAAAAGCAATATATGTTAATGGGCTGAAGTCTGCCATCTGTGATTGCCTTGTTTTTGTTTACAATGTTTTGTTTATGTTTAAAGTTAAAACTTTTGATCCAACACAAAGAAGTTCTCTCAACTAGAGCTTTTGACCAGTCACTCTGGTCTTCCTCAGTAGACTGACCCAGTGAGGCTTGTCATGTGGCTTCTTTAAGTTTAACTTTAACCATCCCTCGCGGCTGTAGAAAGCAGTACATCCCTGGCTTGACTGACACAAGCAAAGAAACCTACATCAGGTACACAAATGCCTATGATGTTGACCCCTTTGCTGAGGAAACCATCCTTCTTGGAGAAACCCTGCTTGCATCTCTCAGTGATGCAAGAAAGGAACGATGGCAAGAAACTGTTGGCGGACTCGACATGACCCACAACAGTAAGAAAGCCTGGAAGACCATCAAAAAGCTGAACTCTGATAAGGAACCTGACCAACGTATCGCAGCCGTAACCCCAAACCAGGTAGCAAAACAACTGCTGGACAATGGTAAACCTCTTAACAGAGAACGTGGCTACGTGAAAAAGATGAAAGAAGACATGAGGCGAGTCCTTGAGGACAGTGACGAAGTCTTCTTACCATTCTCCAACGAAGATCTATGCGCTGGGTTGAAACACCTCAAACCGGGGAAGGCACCAGGCCTAGATGGAATCAGCGTAGAGATGACCAAGCACTTCGGTGTCAAGGCCCTAGCTTGGCTACTGCAGCTGTTCAACAACTGTGCCCAAGGCACACAGATACCCAAGATCTGGCGACGTGCCAAGGTCGTAGCCCTGTTGAAACCCAACAAAGATCCAAAATCACCAAAGAGCTACCGGCCCATCTCGCTCCTCTGCACTCTGTTCAAACTGTATGAAAGGTTGATCATGGCCCGTATCAAGCCCACAGTTGAGGACCTTCTCACTCCTGACCAGTGTGGTTTCAGAGAAGGGCGATCGTGCTGCGGACAAGTACTAAACTTAACCCAGTACATAGAGGATGGCTTCGAAGCTGGTCTGGTAACTGGTGCTGTATTTGTCGATCTCACGGCCGCATACGACACAGTTAACCATCGTGCCCTCCTCACCAAAGTGGCCCACATAACCAAGAACACCAAGGTGGTCCGTATCATCGAGTCGCTCCTGACAAATCGCCGATTCTTTGTTGAAATGGACGGAAAACGCAGTAGGTGGAGAACACAGAAGAATGGCCTACCCCAGGGTTCAGTGTTAGCTCCGATGCTCTTCAACATATATACCAATGACCAGCCGACTTTCAACAACATCCGGAGGTTCATCTACGCAGATGACCTCTGCCTGGCAACCCAGTCGAAAAGCTTTAAAGTCATTGAGAAGCGACTTGAAGACGCCCTGGAGTCCTTATCAGGGTACTACAGAACGTGGTTCCTGAACGCCAACCCGGGGAAGACCCAGGTCTGCGCATTCCACCTCAATAACCATGCAGCATCGAGAAAACTCAGAATCACCTGGGAGGGAAAAGAACTCGAAAACACCCCACACCCAGTGTACCTTGGTGTCACCCTTGACAGGACTCTGTCCTTCAGAGAGCACGTCACCAAGCTAAGGAAGAAGGTGTCTGCCCGTAACAGCCTTCTCTACAACCTGGTAAACTCCAGCTGGGGAGCGGACCCCAACACCCTCAAGCAGACAGCACTGGCTTTGTGCTACTCCACTGCTGAGTACTGCGCCGCAGTATGGGAGAGGTCACCCCACGCTCCCAAGGTTGATGTGGAGCTGAATAGAGCCTGCCGCTCAATCACCGGTAACCTGATGGCTACCCCCCTGTCAGCACTGCACACACTGGCAAGTATCTGCCCACCTGGCATCCGACGAGATGTCCAGACAAGGACAGAGCGAGAAAAGCAGCTCAGTGATCCTAGGCACCCGTTATACGGACACCAGGAGGTCCCCCGACGTCTGAAATCCCGCCGCAGCTTCATGACGGCCCGACGCCTCGGGGGTATGACACCAGCGACCCTCAGGGTAGAGCTGTGGAAGGAGAGTCACCCAAGTAACAACAGGGCACTCCCTCCCCCCAGCGAGACACTGCCCCCAGGGACAGACTTGCGCAGAAGGGACTGGGTGGCCCTGAACCGGGCAAGGGCTAAGGTGGCCAGGACAGGGGACAACCTGGCACGGTGGGGCAAGTCCACCAGTACAACCTGCAGCTGCGGAGAGGACCCTCAGACCATCCAGCACCTGATGCACGGCTGCAGGCTTGGTCCTACCTGCACAGACACAGATCTCCAGGAGGCCAATGAAGCAGCGCGGAACTGGCTGGAGTGGATTGGCGATAAGCTATGATGATGATGTTTAACTTTAAACATGTAACTACCAACACAGATGAACTTCCATGATAATATTTTGTTTACTCAATGTCTTGCACAGGTTTGGCATGGAAATGGAGGCATCCTCAAACGACCTTCAGGCAGCCAATCAGGAGCGAGAACAGCTGCGGAACGACCTTGAGAACTGCCTGTCAATCATAGAAGAGAACGAGCGGGTTGCCAAGCAACAGAAACAGGAGCTGGAAGAGAAAGAGAAGATCCAAGCGGAGCTCTACAGATGCAGAGAGCAGCTAGAGGTGAGTGCCTGCAATACTGTCGGAAACTGCAAGGTGTTGCCAATGTATCATGCCTGTTGGAGTACGAAAAATATGTTTTCCATTGTGTTTTGTGTTTTGGTAATTCATAGTTGAACAGTTTTAGACACTTAAGCCTAAAAGGATGTGAAGTTTACACGCAAAAAGGTATTCACAAATAAAACAACAATTTCACAAAACTTGGAGGTAAGTAAATCTCTGCTAATTCTTTTCTGCAACAGGTTTGAAATTGTGATTGCCAGCACAAAAACTTGGCAATTGTGCCTTAGGTGCTTGTATTATCTCCAGTCTTTGTGAAGGAATGAGATTTGAGTATGTCCATTTCCTTTGTGTTCAAACCTGTTTCAGAATGACTATCAAGCTAGACAGATGAACTTTCAACCTCTGATTCTTTGCTAAACAAGTGTTGGCCATTGATGAAATGTTTTATTTCACCAGGCCAGCAAAGCCCAGTACCACACACAGTTGGCCTTGTTAAGCAAGTGTTGGCCATGAATTGTTTGTTTGTTTATTTTTCCATGCGAGCAGTGCACCCCCAAATTTTTTTTGCATACAATTTTTTAGGTTGGGTGCACCAATACAAAATGAATGGCAAGCCTCATGAAATGTGATTTTTTTTCCAGGCCAGTGAAGCCCAGTACCACGAGCAGCTGGCGTTCCACGAAGCAGAGAGGAACACACAGGTGGAGTCACTACGGGAGACGGAGGAGGCGTTGTCACGAGAGAAAGAGAAAGCGCAGAAGTTACAGACAGAGTGTGAAGAGAGACAAGAGGCACTGGGCACACTGCAGTCAGACTTCAAGGAACTAAAGTGAGGGAACTTTCTATCATGAAAGTTCATCTTTGTTGGCAGTTACATGTTTAAAGATAAAACTTTTGTTCCAACACAAAGAAAGTTCTCTCACCTAGAGCTTTCGACCAGTCACTCTGGTCTTCCTCAGTAGACTGACCCAGTGAAGTTTGTCACGTGGCTTCTTTGAAGTGTGACGTCAACACTGGGTCAAAGGTAAGTTACAGACAGTGTGAGGAGAGACAAGAGGCACTGGGCACGCTGCAGGGGGACTTCAAGGAACTCAAGTGGGTTACTTGCTAATTTCTAAGACATAGAAGCTTGAAATACTTGAAAATGTTGAGATTGCAGGCAAAAAATTGAACGTGTAGCAGTACCCTCCAGTCAAGAAGTTTTGAGATTTCAGAAGAAAACAGAATCAAAAACTCAATGTGAAGTTCAGTGCCATCCAGTAGCCTAAAAAATTATTTTTTTATTGTAATTGTTTTCTAAAAGAAAATACTCATCTCTCTTCTTTGTCCTTAGGATTCAAAAGCTGTCTGAAAACCTTCTGTAGAAAAATATGGAGATTGCATTACAAACAAGAATAGCCCTTTTTTTTTCTTGAACAAAGACAAATTCTATTATGTCTTCAGGTCTAGGTTGACAGAAACCCTTCAGGAGCTGGATAGCATCAAGACCTCGGCCCACCACATGCTGCTGCAGCAGGGTCAGGAGATGCAGGCCACCCGCGAACTGCTGGGAGCCGTCCGGGGTCGGCTGGAGGGGCTGGCCACCAGTCTACAGGACAGGATTGGCAACGGGAAACAGGTCAGTGTTAGAAATACCCATCTGCAGTTTCTGTATCTGTATAGCAGATATAAGTGCCAGTTTGCATCAGGTATAACTACCAAATGCACCAGTTTGCTTTTTGCAAAGACATTTTGAATATTGCAGATTGACTGAAAAAAAATTAAGCAACCTGCAATTTTGCAGACTGAAAAAATTCAGGCTAGGGGTTCAATAGTGTCTGTATGATGTTGTTTAGGAGCTTTTGTGCTTACTACTGACTTTATGATATAATTATTTATATATAATTATCGATATATGCCTTATGAATTTGTCAAATTGCATGTAAAATGTTTGCCAACATGCAATTTTGTATGGGTTTGAGTCAGGGCTTATAAGTGTATATTTGCAGAAAGTATCTCCAAATTGCAGAACAATATTGTCAGTAACATTCTGTGACAATATTGCAGAACATTGAAAAAAGTATTTCTACCACTACAGGCGGAACCAGCTGTTTCCATGGCAATGCCAGCTGTTACCATGGCAACACCAGCTAGAAGTGCGCCTGGCAACAGTTCCCTGGTTACGCCAGCGAAGGCGGTTTCGCTGGTTTCGTCGATCATGTACGCTGTTCGAGAAACGGTTATGGGAACGCCAAGTCCGAGACACGATTTGCAGGACGCTGAGTCAAAAGTAGAGCCCGAGGAAACACAGGGTTTGTTTGTTTGTTTTGTGTTTGTTTTGTTTTTCAGTGTACATGTATATCCCAGTGGCCTGACAATGTTTGCTAGTATCGTGCTCTTATATACACATTACAAAAAACAACAATATATGTACAAAAATGTACAAATTCTTCACAACCAACAACTTATCAGTTAAGGATTGTTCCACTGTGTCATTTGGGTAACAAAAAACCCAAGACTGAGAAAGGTCATTTCTCTAAACTACTTCAAGAAGTATTGAGTCTATTCTGCCATAGCCATCAAAAATCTCCAAGATTTCACAAAGAAATCTGCCCAAGAAATGATATACATAACCATTTTGTCTCCAGTGTAAGTTTAAGGTTTAAGCTATAGAATGCTAGTATATTCTTTGTCACATTTTAAAGTAAGCAAATTTGTTTTTTCTTACACAGTTGACCAATCAGATAACACTTCTGAGGAGGAACCTGAGACAGAGAAGGAGGCTGACCAATCAGAGCAGAGCCTGGTGGGCCAGAGTGAGGCTGTGAGTGATCTTGTGACCAGGGTACTTGGGATGATGAAGATGCTGGAGAAAGCCAGCGACCTTGCACTGAGTGACCTTCAAACAGAGAAGTATGGCGGAATGTTTCTTATAATCCCAATGTTACTGAGTGACGCTTTTCTAGATTCCCTGGAAGATAGGCAAAAGTCCTTTGAAAATAAAATCACGATGCTGATTTTAAAATGTCATTGTTACTAGTTGACATCTTTCCAAAATTGCATACAGTACAACTTTGAGTATTCACTTATTGTAGGTTTTTAAGTTTAATCCTATAGGTTAGTATTAGCCACACTTTTGTTTCCATGTTTACCAAAAGAAAACATTGTTTTTGCTCTGTTTCCTCTTCCGCTCCGCACATAAGGTCATGTGACAGCTGTCACCATGGTAACTAGTGTTGGGTTACATCATGTTGTAATTTTATAGCAGGAGGGATTTAGACTCCTGCCACCATACGTTACTTGTATATGAATGTGTTTGAGTAAGACATTTGGTTCGTTATTCTGATTTGTTTACTAATTAGCCTGTTTGTGTTTGTCCTTAGTTTGACCTTGAAACGTAAGCTGGGTCGGATCCACCAGGACCACGATGATGCCATCCATGATGTGACCTCTGACCTCATGCAGTCAGAGCAAAGGTGAGAGGGCAAAGTTCATACTGTCACACATAAGTAGTTGATGACAAAGTTGGTGATATATGTATACCAAAAACAGTTTCAGAAAAGTTTACAAAGAATATACATAATTTTCTTGATTTGTAGCAAAGGAAACAAGAGTTTCTCTCTGGAGAAACTCGGAGTATTGTCTGTCCATTCGTTTCTATGTGCGGGACACAACACCAGCAACAGCTGCCTCTGTTCCGCGTGTATTGCACTGTTGCAATTTCAATAAATCAAATCAAAAATGACTGCAAATGCCTGTGTCAGTTTTTGTAGTCTGATACTTGTAAATAAGAAACAAAGAAAATACAAAGAAGTTCTCTCACCTGGAGCTTTGACCCGTTTAACTTGTAACTACCAACACACATGTACAGATGAACTTTCATGGCAGAAATCCTAGTAGTTCCACTCTGACAATTGCAAGTTTTTTTTCCTGAAAGCCTGAAAACTATGATGAGTTAAGTTTTACTTTGTCCCCAGGGAGGAGAAACTGCGGGTTGAGCTGAACCTGAAGCGGGAAGAACTGACAGCTGTACAGCAGGCACTGGAGTACAGCAAGGCCAAACTCACGCAGCTCTCGGACAACATGGGCTGTCTCAGCGACGCACAGCAGACGTGCAAGGTCAGTACACAGCTGTTGCCATGGTGATGTACAGGTGTACAGCTGTTGCCATGGTGATGTACAGGTGTACAGCTGTTGCCATGGTGATGTGTGCTGTTGCCATGGTGATGTGTGCTGTTGCCATGGTGAGGTGTGCTCTTGCCATGGTGAGGTGTGCTGTTGCCATGGAAGTATAGGCACATTGGAGAAATGTTTATTGTGGTTACTGTGGTGTTTGTATGTTTCCGAAAATAGTTTCATCAGGTTGGTAGAACATGGGATATCAGGATTTCCTTTTTCTCAGAGCTTCTGACTGAAGTTCTGCTTCCTGCTAACTCAGCAACTTATAGCAGTGAGAAGCAGAACTCCAGTCAGAAGCTCTGAGGAAGGTGTCTGATAGACACCGAAATGTAAGGAGGTAAGAAAAGTTTTGGTCGTGAAAAAAGCTTAAAGAAAGTCCCTGTATCCACTTGTTCCATGGTTACAGAAGCAGACAGCAGAACTGGAGAAACTCGGAGCGGCACTTCGCTCTCGAGAGGAGGAGAACCGACTGCTGAGGGAGGAGCTGGGGTCAGCGCTGGGTCAGAGGTCGTGCCCTGATGGTCAGAGGTCAGAGGCCACACTGGTGAAGGAGAGGATCTCACTGAAAGCAGAGGTGAGGAAAGGATTTTTTTCATGGGGAAAGGGGGTCAGAACAATTTATTGTACAAAATGTATATGGATTCATTTGTTGGTATTCTTCTCTTGTTTCTTTAGGTCCCTTTTTTGGTGGGAAGGTTTCTTCTCAAGACCCTGATATTTTAGTTAGATTTAGCATACAGTAGGCTCTTTAGTTATGTGCTCTTGGAATGTGTTTTCTACTTGCATCTGTCCCCTACAGGTGAGCGACCTGAGGCTGAAGCTGATGGATAAAGAAGAGGAGATGACCCAGGTCCTCGCTACCGCAAATAGACGGGTAAACAATTTATTCAGTGACCAACCTGATGAAACTAATCCGAAATGTTTTGACACTTGAATTGTATAGTCCAGGACATAATGTCCAGTACAACATAGATGTAGATCTTACCGTAGTGTAACCCTCAGTCTATGAGTGTTATTAAAATAAAGTTTTCTCTCTCTCTCTAACCTCCTATGATCAACATCTGTCTACTAGTACTACTACTACTACTATCCTGGTTTAGATTATACTGCTGCCGGTTTCCCTGTCCCAGGGGTGGGCAGCAGTCGGCTGTTCTGGACACCACGCCTCCAGCTAGCTCTGTCCTGTGGGTCTGTGCTGGACAGACCACACTCCTTGATATCCTTCTGGATACACTCCACCAGTACAAATACATTTTGACTATTGCATTGTTTACTCCTTAGATTTAATGCCCTTAGCCTAAAATTTTGGTTCTTGATGAGTGTGATCACAAAACCATTTTTCTCTCCCTCTAACCTCATGCGATTGATGTTTGACTACAGATGAAGGCCCACGAAGACAACCAACAGAAGGCAGAGACAGAAGTCTGTCGCCTGGACAACATCATAGAAGTCATCAGAAAGGTGAGGACTGTGCACAACTGCCCTCTAGCAGTTTACTTGTAAACTGCAACCTTTCTTGTATTGTTGATGATCAACACAAAAGTTTGTGGAACTTCATTTTACTGTTATTCTCTGGTAAAAAGCAAACATTTTCTTTGAAATAAAGTCAAACCTGCTCAAGACTGGTAACCAATAAATTCTGTATGATGTGGTGAAAATATTCAAGTGTGGAAAAGGCCTTAAACAGGTTTGACCATACATATAGTTGTTTTTTGACAACTATTCAGCCCTGCCATCTAGTGGTTTTGTCTGGAACTACAGTCTCCTGTGTGTTTCTCTTGCAGACCCTCCACAAGCACAAAAAGCTTACAGAATGTCATTTTACTGTTATTTACTTTGAAAGACATGTAGTCCTTTTTGGAGACTATTCAGTGATGCCATCTAGTGGTTTTGTCTGAACCTACAGTCTTCTTTATGTTTCTCTTTCAGACCCTCCACAAGCACAAAGACATTGTGGGAACGTGTGATGAACTGACAGAACTTCTACGGGACTTAGACGGGGACGAAAACTCTGAGGAAACCATCCTTTATGTATAAAGCTGTGAGATTCTATTGATAGATATACGTTCGGTTTTCGAGGATCAGTTTGTTATACCAGTATTTCTACTACCAGGAGACTTCTTTAAGCTAAGACAAATATGGTACAACTTCAAGTTTGTTCGTTTCTTGTACAGAATTTGTTAATGGAAAGACTCGTGATGCCTCTGTGTTATTTTTTGTAATCTTGTTAGATAGTGAGATTTTCTAAGATACTTCTTTATGGCAAGACAAAAATATGATACAACTTCATGTTTGTTCAGTTCTTGTACTACATGTACAGCATTGTTAAAGAAAAGACTCCTGATTCCACTGTGTTATTTTTGTAATCTAACACACTAGTTAAACTGAATAGCGGATATTTAGCCTGACCACATCACCCTATAGGAGGAAGGGACCAATAATCTCCTAGGTGCCAGACTAGTGGTAAGTTTAGTTTTACTTACAATTCAGCCATTGGTTGTGTTTGTTGGAGTTAGAATTGACAAACAAGAATTGTGTATTGTGTAAGGCAAGCTTCAATTCCAGTTGTTAAAAAGAAGAAAAAAATGATACAGTTTTACTTTCAATGTATGTAAGAATATAGAATCTGTCTTGCTTTGCTATCATAAATCAGGAAATGTTCATGTGTAGGTCTAAGAACTTTGTATGTTTGAAAACTTTTGTACATGCTTTTGTATTTTGTCAACTGACTAAACGGTATACTTATGTTATACACATATAAATCTTTAAAATATACAGACTTTTTATTTGTATGTTTGTTTGTTTGTTGGCATACTTTGTACCACACCAGTTCTGTACAGTAAGTACATACAAGCTGCGTAAAACCGGACTGTAAGGTTTAAACCACTCACACTAGGAAGGATCCCTACTCTTTTGAATATAAGTATGGTGGGTTCTTAAATGTGCTTGCAGTATTTTCCAAGAACTATAATCATAGAGTGAAACTCGTTGCCACCAAGCACAGTTGGGGCATCATCACTAGAAAGGTTTAAACAACTCCTGCAATCAAATGTGCAAAGATTGAGTGTAACAAGTCGATCTGTGTAATGTAGCCAGCTGCCACCGTGCCGCATGCCTGCGAAGCTGGTTTGTTGCGCAAAAGAGTGGTTATACTGGCTATACTGATACAGAAATTGACGTTAGCCTAGAATTATAGTCAGGTTGGTCTCATGCCATCCTCCATACATAATGGTTTATCCCTTCTCTACCTTGTAGCCCCCTGAACAGTAATGGTTTGCCCCCTGTAAAAGTTTATTAGCGCCTGCAGGTCGGAAGTGCCAACAGTAGGGCACGGAATGTGGCTGCCGCGGGCACCTAAATAATTAAAGACCCGCTTCGTTATGTCAGGACTAATTAGTCCTGATGGGGTATTCTGCTGTCTGAATTGACAAGGGGGTGGGGGGCTAAGACCTGCGCTTTTAGTTATATTTAATTGTCTACATTTGTCTGCCTTATGTTGTGTGCTTAGGTTGTTTACATACATTTGCTATTTCCATGTAGCCTCTACCAGGCACCGCGAATCGCTGGAAAGATAGTAGAAATTGACCAAAATAAAGGGATAATTTACCAGAGAAATATCCGGCCAGAGTGAAGATCCAATTTCTACTATTAGGATCTGCTTGGAGATTATTCAAGCAATATAAATTTATACTCTCTTGATATTATTTCCTTTTCCACAATTATACAGTCAAATGGCTCACAATTCATTGCAAACATACATGCAGAAACACACACACACATGGCTTAAAAAGTTAAAGCACACTAGGCAAAATTAAACTGAAAACCCTGTACTGAAGACTAAAACATCTTAATCTGTCCTTTTCCATCATCGCATCTTCCCAGAGGGTCTCCTGGGGTTTTAGAGAATCTTTCATATTGATAAGGACATCCCTAAACCCCTCCCATACACACCTGTATCCATGTAAATCTCTGCCTATTGTTTGCTCTTCGTTTGATGGATGTTACATTTTATAGATACACGGAAGAAACGCAGGGCAATCACAATACATACGGATACACGAATAGGACATGAAACACAAAAACGTAAAACTAAGCCTGCATTTGACTATTGTACTTTAATAATGGTTTATTTATTTATATGTTATATTATATATTATACTTGTACATGTTATGTCAGTTGAGTATGCACTACTGGTCAAGAAATGATAAGATAAACTTTTCTTTGAAAAAAATACAAACATCTGGTCTGTGAAACAAAGGCATTTTTAAAGTAATTATGACATTTTTTCTGTCAATTTTGTGCTGGTTTAGAAATTTAATCATGGTTCCCATCGCTAGCCAAACCATTTAGGTTTCAGCACCAAAGGAATTCCAAAAAAGCAATCACAGCTACGCCATTTTTATATCTAAAGCCACAAGACAAAGGTGTATGCCACTTAAATGAACTTGTTTTTCTGCATTTTTTTTATATTTTGATTACGTTTGGTGTGTGTTGTATACGTATGATTGTTTTCTTTTATGTATCGGTATAAATACAGATATTTGTAGGACCACATAGGAAGAATAACAAACCGTGTAAACTGAAGCTATAATTGTTCACAAAAATAAAGTCAAAACAAACCCAAACTTTTACAATAACCCCCTTTATTACTCTTAAACATTGCATTATTGTTGAGTCTGGACTATAATGTTGTTGTACGGAGAAAATTGAAAGGCCAATTAATGGAGTTTGTATAAAGACTCTCCAACAATGGAGGACTGTTTGGCCAGTAATAAATTTAAAATTATTTCAATCTGTCCCTGGAGATTTCTGACGTCACAGATACGATGAAAAAAGGGACCAATTCAACTTCACAACTTTTTCACCAGAGATATTTTTGATACATCAGGAAAGCTTTGGTAAATTGGTAATAGTTTGTGTCTTTTCATCAACGGTGAAGGTTAGACATCCAGGTAATAAGATACAAAAAAAACAGTAAATGAGTTACTCAAGCAACTGGATATGATTTTGGAAACGGTCAGAGGTTTCAAATAGCATCCACTACCTTTCGTCGTGTACGAATCATATTTATATGCATATCAATCAATAGTTCGTACTTATAAACCTGCCTTTCTGTCAACTCTCCAGTGTCACTGACGAAAGGTAGTGGATGCTACCTGAAACGTCTGACTGTTTCCAAAATCATATCCAGTTGCTTGAGTACTAGTAACTGTTTTTTTTTTTTTTTTTTGCGCAAAAGGCAAAATCCTTTATTTAACAGTATCTAGTTAATATAGTGCTGAATATTGTTTTGAAGACACTTTGAGGTTGTGGCCGGTCCCTGGTGACGTCATGACCAATCCTTAGAGAGCCATCATCTAACCAGACCAGACCAGTCTCTTTCCAACTCTCTTCGACTCAAGACTCTCCTCCAAGTCTCCTTCCCAGACTCAAGACGCCAGCGAGACCACTCAAGGTATGTCTTGACCTTGAAAACATCTTACAGAGTTACGTTGGTGAAGGTTAGACATCCAGGTAATAAGATACGCCAAAAAAACAGTTACTCAAGCAACTGGATATGATTTTGGAAACCGTCAGACGTTTCAGGTAGCATCCACTACCTTTCATCAGTGAGTGACACTTGCTACGTGAAACGTCTGACCGTTTCCAAAACCATATCCAGTTGCTCGAGTAACTGTTGTTGTTTTTTTCGTATCTTACAGACTTCCTTAAGAACCATACCGTATAATCCTGTGAACTGAATGATACTTAGTAAGTTTTCTGCATGTAAAAAAATCAGTTTTTTCAATGTTGTGCTACAGACACTTTGCGAACGGTAAAAGGGGAAACTTCTAGCTCCAAATACCGTATAATCATTATCATTAGCATACCTTGCTCATTGTTAATTGCCGATATGCTATTTGTTTGTCTGTAACTTTTTGTATCAATGCATTTCACACATACACTGTGATACAGATACAGATTTCTTCACATACACACGCACTCAGTCTCCTCAGCTAGTTGTGCGGTTTTGGCTTGTACTTGCTCGTCGCGTCTTTCCCCTGGTTTTGAGTGTTTTCGCAAAAAACAGCAACCATTTTGGCCCCAGAACCTGTTATTAAGACTCTGTGACTGACATGTCGATCGGGGGAAAAGATCGCAGCGTTTCCCCAACTCTACTTTGCTTCTCTAGCAGCGCGAATTTCGCCCTTTTTTCTGTATGAAGCCATTTTGTGGGTTAGGGTTAAGATCTCTGACGTATCCAGAACCCTGCCTATATACAGAATGTAGTTCTATCTAACATATTTGACAACTCTGTTTTCGTTCTTAAGAGAACGAGTTTTACGTCGGTAAACACTCCAGTGTCTGGATAAACTCACGGCACACCAGTACGCCACACACGAGTTCCAGCCCGCTACTTAAGTCTCCTTCAAGTAGCCTCCATAGCATGCCAAAAACTGGGGGTTTTGGGGGTCTTTGGGAGCTTTTATGTGCTATTTTCTGATTGCATATAGACAACGTAGCCGGCCTGGTTGAATTACCCCCGTTTTTAGAACTGGGCTAATCAGAAAACAGCCGAAGACCACCAAACCCCCAGTTCTATAAGCCTGCTACGGAGGCTAATCAGAAAACAGCCGAAGACCACCAAACCCCCAGTTCTATAAGCCTGCTACGGTGGCTACCTTCAAGTGTCTCAAGACATAAACCAAACGCCTTGAGCTGAGGAAGACATCTTGAGATTGTCGCTGAGACGCTGACGCAAGTGTGCAGCCGTCTTGGCGCGTGGAAGACGTGTGTGTGACATGTGAAGTCCTTAAAGACACCGCCCGGAAAACACTTAAGAAAAACGCGCTCGCTTAAGAAGGTTAGCCTCTACCAGGCTTCGGGAGGCGGCTGGAAAGAGTAGAATTGGTCAAATAGAGAGATAACATGCCAGGGGAGTTGGTCCGCTAGAGAGTACATTTTGCCGTAGCCTCTACCAGGCTTCGGGAGGCGGGTGGAAAGAGCTAGTAGAAAATGGATAGAACTTGATTGAATAGAGATTGGGATTGAATAACCCTCTTAGATATCAATTAACGACAC